ATAGGTCATCTAATTGGGCCTTCGTCAATAGTTTGGATTAACTATCATCAAAATATATAATAGACCAATTGGCTTTTTCCTACTTGAACTTTTCCAAAATGTTAAATTTATACCCGAACTTATATATTTACCAAAACATTCTTCATCTTCTTAATAATTTGAATTTCATACCTAATCTATTTTTTTGTGCTTAAACCTACTTTTCTTCAAACGGTGTTAAGTTACCGTGAAATGTAGTCTATGTGGCATCCATATAAGCGATAACTTCATTTACGTTTTTTAATTATAAATAAAAAGAAAAAAATAGAAAACTAAGTTGTGTTACTATCGGCCAAAACGACGTCGTTTGGTTTCAGCCAAAACTGAAAAAAGAAAAAAAAAACGACTACGTTCAATCAGCAAGATTTATGTCAATTGAGCTTGGAGTCATCGACAGCGAGCTCGACATGGCACTGAGTACAAGAGAAGCGTGTGAGTCCGTGTGGCACATTGAGGATTGCCTGACAGTTACCGCAAGGCAATTGCATCTTCGTCGGATCGATTCCATGTGCCGGCACCGGATCCTAGGCTGCTGCAAATTCATAGGATTCAGTTGCAGACTTGCAGTTGAAGCGGCGGTGGAAGCATCTGAATCGGCGGCGATTGTCAAATCATACCAAGAAACGGCGTATTCCACATGGGAAGCAAGATCAACATTTTGAAAGTAAATTTGCTTGGAAAGACGTGAAGAGAGAAATCCAGATGGGTTCTTAGAATGGATTCAAAAACAAATACATAATAAATCCAGAACTCAACAAACAAAAAGAGAACAGAAGAATCCCTGAAATTAGCTAAAGATTAGATTGAAGTCCTAAAAGTCTTAATTGAAAGTTAAATTAAAATTCGAAGTCGAAGGCCAGAGAGTATAAGCAAATTGGGAGATTTGAATGATGATAACAAATGATTTAAGAAGATCGAAATTCAGGAAGAAAATAAATAAGAACTAATCGAGAAAACCAAAAGAAAGAGAAAAACGACCTGAGTGTTAAGTGTTTCTCTACTTTTGTGCCTTTCCTTCTCGTTTTTGGTTTCAGATTTTTCATTATTAGTATTAATCTCACTAATGAAATGCTGTCATTATTTTTTTCTCAGTTTTGGCCAAGACCAACGACGTCGTTTTTGTCGGCATTAAAACAACATTGTTTTGTTTTTTTTTCAAAATTTAAAAATTATAAACGACGTTGACGTAGCATGCCACGTTGACTACATTTAGCGGCAACTTAACACCGTTTGGACAGAAGTAGTTTTAAGCACGAAAATATAAATTTAAGTATGAAATTCAAATTATTAAGAAGATGAAGAATGTTTTAACAAGTATAGAAGTTCGGGTATAAGTTTAACATTTTAAAAAAGTTTAAGTAGAAAAAAGCCAATTTTCCATTTATTCTTGTAGCACAAATCCATTGAAATCTTGTTTTGCTCGGTTTTACCTCATCAGTTTTTTAGGCCAAATTAAACAAATCTAATTTTTATTTATAAACATTCACAATCTAAATTTATGGTACCCATATTACAGTCACTTATATAAATTTGGATAATTAGGGACATTTTTTCCGTTTCAGCGTCAACAGAAACAAACTCTAGTAGTTTGAACAATAAATTACAAAACTCATGACATGACTTAACAAAAAAAAAAATTTCGAGGTTTTGGATCAAGAACTGTACATTTTTGTGTGTAAAAGGATCATAACATGTATTCCACAATCTTCGATCTAGAAACTCCATCATTCAACCAAATCTGATGCTCCCTAATGTTTGGTAGCAAAAACTCCATAGTCAACTAAATCCCCAATAGTCAACTAATATTTCCATAACAAATACACCTTTATATATAAATGTAATATTATATACAGTTTGGCTGCACTCGATTCCATGTATTCGCACCATTAGATTCCTACATCGATGAGAGCCACGTTGGATCCCAGTCATGCGTTCAAAGACTTGAACCATGTGAAACCAACCCAATTCAAATCCTTTTCGATTCTTAGGAATATTAAACAAGTAAGGACAGGACAATCAAATAAACAAAGTTCTTTTTTTCGTTTTGTTTTTTTTTTTTACTTTTTAAGACCAGGAAAACTAGTATATATTCATTCAAAAGCACTAATAAATCAACTAATACAACTAATTTGGTGATGATTAATCATCGAGGTTGCTTTTTTTCCAGTATATAGTATTTTGCTGTATGTACAAAGATATATGGTGAAGAATTATTATTGCAAAGTTGTATCATTATTGTGTCTAAGTATAATGAAGAATTATGCAAATTATATCGCATGCCAAATTCTAATAGTGATAAATATGTATTTATAATTTTTATATAGTTTATACTAATACAACAGTATTTTATAATTATATAGATTTGGAAAGTTAGAAACTACGATGAAGCATAGTTTCATGTAATTTGGAGTATTACATTAAATCTCGTAAAGACCAAATAAACACTATTGATTCTGTTTTATAAGCCGACCAGTTATAACGTACGATGTCGGTAGCTCAAACTTTAATGTCTTTGTATTTTGTTTTCTTTTGTCATTTATACGTTTGTATTTTCTGTGACTAATTTTATGAAAATGTTCTCAGTTTTAATATGAACTAGATTCTAAACTCGTGCGTCCGCACGAGAATTTTTTATTTTTTTTTCCTAATATAATTTTTTATTTATTTTTATTTATATATAAGTTTTTTTATTATTTATTTATTTTCTTAAATCAAAAATATTTATTTTTCAATTTTTCAAATATGAAAAAATAATAAGAATGAGATGTGTTAAGTTTTTCATCATCTTAGTGTCAAACTATTTTTTACAGGACATTTTGTTATCATGTTTTATCTTTAAATAGTATAGAATTGTATATTAGTAGAATTAGAATATGAGTTAATTAAGTATATTTCGATCTAATGTTAATTATAAATTTTGTTATTATGTGATTTTAATTATGTAAATTTAATAATATGATTTTTATTATGTGGATTTACATATAAATAATTTATATATCTATGAATTAGCTAATCAATCCGTTTAATTGCCTTAAATCATTTTTAATATTTTATATGTTTTTAAAAACTAACTTGTATAAGAATGTAATTATAAATGCATAACCCTAACCTGCTCTATCATATTATTATTATATAAAAATATTTACTAATATTGAATTTAGGTCGATTTGATTACGATAAAAAATAATAAGATATTCAAATATCATTTGTGTTATTATAAAAATAGATATATCTATAAATTGACTAACTTGTTCTTTTAATTACCTCAAATTATCTTAATATCTTACATGTTTTAACAAACTAACCCGTATAGGACCTGAAGTATAATAATACATAACCTTAATCAGCTCCATCATATTATTGTAAAATATAAATATTTATTTATCTTAAATATTTGATATTTTAGAACATTTAATTATGATAAAATAAAATAAGATATTCGTTTACCATTTGCGATATTATGAAAGTACAATTTAAATTTAAAATTTAAAATTAAATTTCTATTTGAAGAATTATAAACCCTAAATTTTTGTAATAAAATTTAATTATAAAATTTTTACTTTTTTGAATTTTAAATTGAATTAAATCTAAATTTTCGTAATTATATATAGTTATTAAAAATCTTGAATAATTTGAAATTTTATTTAAATATAACTATATTTAAGGAAATTTAAAAATATCTAAATTAATAACTAATTTTCGAAATTAAATATCAATATAAAATAACTGTTTTAAATTAATTATCACATATATTTAAGGAGAATCTAAAAATATATAAATTAATACATAATTTTCGGAATTAAATATAAATATAAAATAAATAATTTTAAAAAAACTTTAGAAGTGTTTGGAAGCAAGCACTAAAAGTGTTTCTGTTTTAACATAATAGATTTAATATTTTCCGTAAGAAAGTGATAATATTTTAGGTAAAATTATTCCTTTTAGCTGATTTTAGAATTTGTATTTTAAAAAGCATTGCACCTAAATTATTCCACCAATTGTATCTATCACCTACTTGTCTGTACTATATATCTTGATTAACACTTTCAAACCAACAACATTTTTCTAATAGACAAAATATCATAAAACTTCAAAAGACTCTCTCCTTCTCCTCCCGCTTCAGATATTTAAGTATTTAGCCCACAAAACTCGTTCAATGGGTAAAAAAATATAATCTATAAACTGAATGCTCGAATAAACAGAAACTAGATAAATAATTAGACGTAAAGGGACATGATGACTTCCGCTTAATAAGGTCAGTAAATGAAGCCAATGTAATGTGCCAATCATGATTTGTCCTAAAGAAAGGTTTATTAAATTTCTCTATTTTTCAAAAGTTTATAGAAAATCTTCATCAGGGAATCATTATTTGTCATTATTATTCCTTTGTGTAAAGCACACTAGTATTGATTTAAACTTAAAAGTATTAAACAAAAGACGAACAGAGCTATTTAATAATTATTTTGAGTAATTACGAAGCAAAAGCTATATATTAAACTATAAAATCAAAGTCCGAAGTGTAACGCTCAGAAATCCAGACCGTTGCGCGTGACAGAGAGGCTCTCTGACAACTTAAAATTGATTTCATTTCCCACTTTAATTAAAAATCTATTCATCAAAATAAGTTTGAAATTAGAGAAAATCGAAATAATTTTTTTTACACCATTAAATTTCTTTCTAATTTACTACCTAACAGTCAACACTAATTCAGGAACTTACGTAACTACATCAAATGAGATATTCTGTATTAACAAGTCAATCCCAAAACAAGTAAATATTAAAAGCTTAGTAATAATCTCCTGATCCGAAAGCTTTGCTAATCTTGAATTTGTGGAGAGGGAAATCGAATTTAATTAAGTTTATTCTGAGATTAATTAGCGAAGGAGAAAAAGACAGAGTCCCCATGTTTTCATGACAGTGGCTCGACTTTCCACGAGGGAAACTTTATATTATACAAAATCTTTGCTCAGACCACCAAATGCTTAAACTCTTTTGGCTTCTTCTTCTTCTTTCTTCTCATATTCTCTGGACCCGGAAGAGGATTCATGAATCCATCACGTCTCTGTAACTAAGCTCCTGTTTCTCGTTTTCTCTGTTCCAGAAGCTTCTAGAAGCATCAATGGCGGAGTTCGTCTGTTTATTCGGCAAGGTTCTGATCTCTCTTTCACATATACTGTAACTTTTTTGTGATTTAAGCTTCTGGGTATCTCTGCATGTCTGTTTAATCAATGGAATCTACCTGAAAAAACTGTTTTCTTTTCATAAGAGTTAAAGTTATGGTTTTTCTAAAACAAATCATGCTTGTTCTCTCTGTTATTTCTCCATTGTATTGATTAGTATCAATCTTTTTATTCTATATTCTTGATTCCGACTTTAATTTGAACCAAATCTTGTTTCTAATTTGAAAGAACAATGAACAAAACCCTAGAGAAAGCAATTGGATTTTTAATTAGGGTTTAATTGTCCTCTCCGCTTCAAATTAAAAGACCGACTTCGTTGTTGATGTAACAGGACAGTGCATCGATTGTTATAAAGCCACCAAAGAAGTCACCTTTGTTCTTGAGGATGATAGTTTTGGTGTTTGCTATGGTTTGTGGTCTCTACATCTGCTCCGTTTGCTTAAAACAGTTTGGTAATGTCAATCTCCAAAGCTCCCAACTTGTTCCAAATCCTATTGATTCTCGTTCATTACACGTTGTTACTCGGATTCATTACCCAAAGCCACAGACTTTTAATAGGTAACTATCATCACTTGCTGTTCTTGTCTGTGTTTTGGACTCACCTTTTGTTTTTGCTGTTGAAATCTCTGTTTGTTTTTTGTTTTTTATATAAACAGAGCTGAATGTGGGCACAATCCGGTGAGGTTCTTTGCGATATTGTCGATGCAGAGATCTGGAAGTGGTTGGTTCGAAACATTGTTGAATAGTCATAACAATGTGAGTTCTAACGGAGAGATCTTCTCGGTTTTGGATCGAAGAAGAAACATTTCTTCAATCATTCAGACTCTCGATAGAGTTTATAATCTTGATTGGCTTACGAGCGCTTCAAAGAACGAATGCTCTGCTGCAATTGGATTCAAATGGATGTTTAATCAGGTAATAGTACTGAAAAAAAAAGAAAACTCCAATCACTACCGAACCAATTACTTTCCGGTTTTATAGTTCTTGATTATGTGCAGGGTTTGTTGGATAATCATGAAGCAATAGTAGATTACTTTAACCGGAGAGGTGTCTCGGCTATATTTCTATTCAGAAAGAACCCTCTAAGAAGAATGGTCTCTGTGTTGGCAAATTCTTATGACCGTTATGCTAAGTTATTGAATGGAACTCACAAGTCTCATGTTCATTCTCCTGAAGAGGTTTATATTATATGCATAACAGTACAAATGTTTCTCTTTTTTTTTGGAATTCTTGATTTCGATTGGTTTCTTGATCCTTGCAATTCTACTGCAGGCAGATGCACTTTCTAGGTATAAGCCGGTGATCAACTCAACATCGTTGATCCATGATTTACAAGAAACAGAGAATTTAGCTGCAAAGGCTTTAGAATATTTCAATACCACCCGTCATATGGTTGTCTTCTATGAAGATCTTATTACAAATCGAACGGTAAGGTTTTAGAACATCCAAAGGTTTAAAAGTAACAACTTTTGATAAACACATCTGAAAGTTATAGACTTTATTGAACAGAAGTATTTCTTTTGTTTTATCTCGAATAATTATGTTGAGGGTTTGATGCAGAAATTGAAACAAGTTCAAGAGTTTTTGAACATTCCTGTGAAGGATTTGTCAAGCAGACAGGTGAAAATACACAGAGGGGATTTGTCAGATCACATCAAGAACTGGGAAGATATAAACAAGACGTTGAATGGGACCGAGTACGAGAAATTTCTACGAGCAGATTATTAGTGTTTTTAGCCATATAAAGAGACTTTCTTCTACACTCAGCTAAAGAGTTTGCAAAATGCAAAAGGGTCTTCTTGTTTGAAGCTTTTCTACTTTCTAGGTTCTTCTGCTCAACTACTTGTTGATCTTTCGTTTCTCCTCTTTTTTTGTTTTTTGTTTTTCTCTTATCCTCTTAGAACAAAAATGATTTGGTTGTATAGGGGACTGGAAAATGTAGTTGCTTTTAGAGATCAAGTGCTTACTTTTAGAGATCAATAAAGTTGTTCAGTGATAGTTCATTTGAGTTAAGTTTTGTTCTTTGGTTTAGTGAAATGGGCCTTGAAGGCCCAAGAAGACCATTCAGAGTCTCATTTTCGGCCCAAGAACACCATTCAGAATCTCATTTTCTGCTATGAAATATTTCGATTCTGTGGTCTTACTATCTTATTCATGTTGGGCTTATTTCGTCGACAAAGGAAAATTGTAAATTATGGTGGATACAATATAAATGTTTTCATGATAACTAATGGATGTTTTATACCATCTTAGACTAATGGCCTATTTAATTTAACCACTTTTCCAACCTCTACATGGCAGGTGGTGGCTTTACGAGGCTTTACCACTTGGCCACTAGGTTATAAACTTACAATCATCTCCAGTCAGTAAATTACAATACATTTAATGATTATAGAAATATAATTATATCACAGAAATAAAATCATTTTTTTAATTGGCTTAACTGGCATATTAATTCTGTAATTATGGTTCTCTTCTTTATTTTGTGAAAAAATATCTAAAAAGAAAACTATCAGAGAGAATAATATCTCCACTTTCATTCTAAAGATTCACTTTTGGTGCAGGAAGAAACTAAAGAAGCTTCCAAAAAATATAATTAAATGAAAAGTGCTTATAGCAGACCAAAAGTGGTTAAAGAAAGAAACAAAGCAAGAGTGAATGCCTTTGAACCGCTACAATTTTGAGACGGACCAACTTTAAGGTTGGAAAGTTGAGAGAAACAGCCTGTGCGTGTTACAAATTTATGGCAATGACATTTGATTCCTTATAAAGTTCAATGGAATAGTGACATTTTCACTGATTATATTAATGCACCACTAATGAGTAATAGATTGCGTATTAAAACTGAAAAGTGATTTGAGAGTCTGAAACTAAACCATATTTAAAAATCAAACCATTATATATATATCATTCGCAAATACGTTAATGAAGCATCAGCTGCTATGTTCCAATATTTAAATCACATGAATTGTTTTTTAAAGATTAAGCCAACTAGTGACGTGCGACGGTACGAGTTAAATTCCACCTGCTGAATCTAGATTACGTCAGACGATTTTTTAATTTTTAATCTTTTGATCAACTACTTTATTTTGAAACCTAATATATGATTAATTTTTTTAAACCTTATATTATGTGTTATCTCACATATTATATATTTTCTCTCTTTGTTCGTTTAGCTACACTCTAAACCACATTATAACTTTCTTCTGTCTCGCAAAGAGAACCCTAATTCTACGGCTTCCAAACCTCAAAATATAATAATTACATTTTAACTTTTTTTTTTTTTTCATTCTTTTTCACTTCGTAGACGCATAAAGAATAAACATGCTGTCTTATTTTTTTTTTTTGAACAAAATATGTTTTCTTATTTCAAATTTCAAAAATAGAAGTTCGCGCATGCAGCCATACGAACAGGTCATGCAAGTTTGCTTATGCAGTCATACATGTCATTTTAACAGAAATGGAAGAGATGTTGATACTTGGTAAGAGAGTCTAGAGACTATGATCTATTTTTAATTTTTTCAGTGTTACGATCAAAATAAAAATCAAAGAACGCAAAAATTTGTTAATATTTTGATTGGATGTATATATAGAAGCCTGGGTGGCGGAGGGTACGGTGGGGTCCTTCGTGGAACTTCCCTGTGTGCAGGAGCCAACCATATTCTAAAGCTTTCTTTCACTTTTCAACATGTCATTTTCTCTATATTTTATCATTTTTATTTTAATTTCCGTAATACCAATCGTACGTACTGTATATACATTTATATGCATGCGCACACATATATATATATATATATTATTTTTTTAAAAAAAAATTAAAGATATGCATGCGCATTCTTCTACAAATACTGTAATGCTTCGATCTCAAAAACTACATTTTTGTTTTTAAGATATATATATATATATATATATATATATATATATATATATTTTAGAGGTCATTATATTGTTTACAATAAGTAAAAATGCCATAAGTAAAATTAATGGACGATTTTTATGTTCATAAAATATATATATATATATATATATATATATATGTATAATAGTTCCAAAATGGACGATTATGCGGCCTCCTACATCATTCTGTACATGATTTAAAAATTGCAAATGTATTTTTGTCATAAAATATCAATTTCTATAGTTGTATATAACAAACACGAAATTATCATAGTTTTTTGCTCTAAAAATCTTCTTTTTAATGTCGTCCAGTGTAGATTGAGTTGAAATACGCTTGTACCCATAGGAATCAAATTTTGAGAGGTATGAGATGTGAATGCCTACTTAAGTATTAGTAACAATACTGATTAAAATCTTAAATTAACATGATATATCTTTTAATATGTCTTATCTAATGTCCTACATCTGAAAAAGGCAAGGGTTAGGTGAAAACGAAAAACAAAAATATATAAAGTGAGTGGTGAGTGACTGGTAGGGGCCATATAGTGGTGTTCGTTCACGGTGATGGTGCCTTTGACTTTATTCTAGTGAATCTATTGACCACTTTGCTTTTCAATATATTGGTTTGTTTTTGATTCCCTCTTTTAAGTTGTGTATTTTGTCATTATTATTTAATTTGGAAATTGTTTATTCTTAGAAGCATGGCGGCGTTGTCGGACACATGAGAGTTGAAAAGGAAAATAATAACATCCACAAACATGTAATAAGTTAACCAAGTGCTTCTGATATATTGATTTTCGACCCCTCAATTAATCAAAGACTAGTATCGATTTTTTCTCCATATTACATATATTATCATCGTTTAAGCTCATGAGACTCAGTTAAAAGACTACATTGTCTAAAATCCGGAGCTCATTTCATATGATCCCACCATTAGAAGAAATCGAATGACCTAAATATGTATCTTCTTTGGGACGATGTGCATATATATTATTTAACAACCTCACAAATGATTAATGCAAGTATGCAACATACAATATATGTAACGGACGCGACTCAGCCTTCGTATGTAACTGAGATCATTTTATCATACTTAGTATGTAAGGCAATATATATATATAGTCAAAGATGCATATAATCCTATTTTACATATTATATTCGATTTTTTGAAGGGGAGAAAAGTCAATTAAGAAGATCTTTTGTCAAATCATTAGACTTCTTTAAACTCGTGTGCAATTGAATAACCTTGTTTCAAATGCATTTCTGTGGTGGCTTATGGGCGGCTGATTCTTAGCCCTTGAATGCATTTCAAGATTAATTTAGATTATTAATATAAACTGAAAAGCAAAGGTGTAATTATTTCACATTGATCGCTGCGCTTTCAGAGTACAATTAATGTGTATTGTATATTCAACAATGGAGCACTATGAGAGGTTTAGGATCGACTTTTGTAATATTGTATATTTCACCTTCAACAGAAATATATCAATATTTTGGGATCTCCTTTAAGACAGGCAATATCATTCGTCCATTGATAGTCTGTTATAGCGTTTTCTATTTTACTTAACACGAGCAACAAAATTAGAACGCGCGCCCACTTGTTGTTTCAAAAAATAGAAAAGAAATGGAGAGAACTCCCACAAAAACGTCACTCTTACTAATCTCTATAAAGTTACAGTTTAATTTTTTTATAATGAGATATTCGTAAAGAACTGATATTTAATATAGAGTATTACATGGTAGCTGTTAGTAAAATAATAATGTTCGACATTTCTTTTTTCGAAATGAATATTGTTCGACATTTTGAATATTATAATCGAATTCGATTGAAAACTGTCAACTAAAAAATAATTTACTATCAATCTATCATTTCTGTGATAAGTTTTTTTTTAAGAAGAAGCTAAATAAAGGAAAAAAAAAACATATTTAATCGGAATATAGACAATTGTGAGTTTGTGACTATACATATTTGAACGTAATCTCATTAAGAACAGAACCCTTCAAAAAAATGTAAGACGGTCTTGGTATAGTTATATGAATACTTTGCAGTATAAACATTAATTGATTAATAGACGGTCCAAAATCAATCAATCGATGTGGTCATTGTCCACACATTTTTAAATTCAATAAACGGCAACACAATCAATCTCATGGCACTATAAATACAATATCTTTGGGGCACTCTTAGTCTCTTACTCCAAATTCCAGCACACCTACTCACATATACAAACTCCTTAACCTTAATTCCAAAAAAAAAAAAAAAAACAAAACATGAAGCTATTCACTTTCACTGTGACAACTATCATCATCTCCATGATATTTGACCAAGCACCCATCACCACTGAAGCAAGAAAGTTGAGGAAAACAAATGATCACCAAAATCATTTCAAAGCTGGATCTACGCATGAGTTTGTGCCTACTTCTCCACGAAACAGTCCTGGCATGGGACCAAAAAAAGGTAATGCAAATGTTCAAGGGTTTCGAGAAGACTTAAAGCCCACGGAAGGAAGAAGGCTGCAGAAAACGAACGATTTTGCACCTACTTCTCCAGGAAACAGTCCCGGGATGGGGCACAAGAAAGGAAATACAAATGTTGAAGGGTTTAAAGATGACTTAAAGCCCACGGAAGGAAGAAGACTGCAGAAAACGAACGGTCAAGACCACTTCAAAACCGGATTCACAGACGATTTCGCTCCTACTACTCCAGGAAACAGTCCTGGCGTGGGCCACAAGAAAGGGAATGCAGATGTTAAAGGGCTTAAAGATGACTTCGACTCCACGGAAGATAGACAACTGCTGAAAATGGACGGCCAAGATCATTTTAAAACCGGAACTACGGACGATTTTGCACCAACTTCTCCGGGAAACAGTCCCGGGATGGGTCATAAGAAAAAAGATGACTTCAAGCCCACGACACCAGGACATAGCCCCGGAATTGGTCATGCCGCCAATAACGATAAGCTTAAAGCTTAAAAAACAATTTAATAGATTTTAGTTTCATTTATTACATTATTTTACGATAAGTAAATTTTAAATTATTTTATAATTTATACGACATTTGTAATATTTTATGATGGATTCATAATTCTAGATCGGATGAATAAAACTAGGGTTGATCATGGTTTCGTAACATCTGAAGCTCTTGACATTGTATGAGTTTGTATGTTTTCTTTTCTTGTTGATATGATTTTTTAATACTTATTATGTTGTATGTAATGTTAGTATAGACCAATATTTGCCACCATGAGTTAGATATATATATATATATATATATATATATATATATATATATAATTCAAGAGCACGTGAAAATCATGAGTACTGCTGAATGCTGAGATATTCTAAAACAATTCATTTTAGAAGATATTTAGTATACGTGCAGTTTTTTATACACGTTAAATCAGAGCTAAGAGAATTCGGGGTCAACAAAACTAGAATAAATGGAAGGTCTAATGATTTCCAGATTGGGATATGGACAGCTATTCTACGCTTTTCACTATTAGAATCTCTTTTAATATCGGATTAAATAATGTAAAAGCATGCCATTTATAGTTTAAGAAAAGAACATATTTGTAGTACTGTAAAAGTAAGCTTAGTATCTAACTAATTTCTAAAACTATATTGCAGTGGCCGAGAAGTTGGTGCATCCTAAATCGATCTTTGTACTTATACACATGCATTTGTTAGTTTGTTTCATTGTCAAAGCCTAAGAGACAGTGTAAGAAAATAATATAGTACTAGAGGCAAGTTAATTAGTTTAGTTTCTTTCCTACTAATTAATAGATGTAAAAAATAATTTCAGGTACTGCATCGATCAGGTAAAGAGAACCCGTGTCTGTGTCATGGCAAAATACTAGTGCACTATAAACAATATGTGCTTTTATACGATTTGTAGTTGGCAAGCGTCAATAAATTATTAACGATTAGTCATAAAACTATGTGCTTGTGGGATTTAGTATTTTACTCAAAAGAATCCATGATTCAGCAAGTTGGTGAGTTGGTCTACTATAGTGCTTGTACAGTAACCTCACTAAAGGGAAGTGTTGAAGAAAAAAATAGACATGTTGAGAAGAAGTATCATAATTAGTAGCTATAAGCCTCTATATAACTATAATAATTTTAAACAAAAATTTGTAAAGTATCATATCATTATTGTAATCATGTCCATGTAGTGCACGAAAAAACAAACAGACTAATTAGAATCCGTTTATACGAATATTCTTCTTATTTTGACGGCTGTGGTTGATTTGATCGTCAAGACTAGAGTATGAATAAGGCTTCGAATAACGATGCGGTGTATTTTTTTCATGTGGACGCTTGGCAAATGAATGCTATAAGAGCATTTGCATTGGAAATTTCTCATAAGAGTTTCTCATCTTTAAAGAAATAATGTAATAATAAATATTAGTATTTAATTAGAAAAGTCTCTTAAAAAAGTAAAGAGAATCTCTCATTTGAAAGATTCTGATTGAGTGTTCTAATGTTTTTGAGAGATTTTTGTGATTAAATATTATTATTTATTACTTTATAAATTATTTTAATAGATGAGAGACTTATGTGAGAAACTCTCCTAGTGTGAGCAATTGACCCACTTTTATAATTGGGACACATTAAGCCAAATGAATGCTACGAAACCTTGAAACTGGATAATACTGTCTGTGTGACCAAGTTGATGGAGTTTGGGATCTAGTAAATGAGTTGTGTATATATTAAGAATGTGCTGAGTGATCTAGTAAACTGAATTCTGTGCAGTCTTTGTTTTATCATCCAAATTGTTGTTAAAACACATTATGCATTAACCCAACATTTTGCAATATTGCTAGAAAAATTGATACTCAGTTTCGATTCTAAAGTTGTTTGAGGATTGAGTTGTTTGACTTGAATGTTTGTATAAGAGTAATAGAATTAAACAAAAAGAAAACTGGTGGAAAAGTAAGAGTAACGTTACAAATGGTATTAGCCACAAACGAAAAAAAAAAGATACAAATAATCAAATCATATACAGACGAATAAACCGAAATCAAACCCCACAAAACCGGCCGAATGTTCTCACATGTATCCAGTTCGAAGTTTCCTTGATGTTAATTAAACCAGCAGTAATCATGTCTATGTAACCTTTAGCCAAACGGTGTGGATACAGGAGCGGGTCCCGCGAGTGCATCAGACCGTTTGATGCTTCCCATACCACAAATGATACAACCGGGCGAGGAAAGAGCAGCAAACTTTGCGCCACAGAGATCACAAACATCGTACCCAATTGTTGATAATCTGCTGAGCGTAGCTGAGCATAACTGAGACGGATCTTCAAGCGGGTCTATGGATTTGTTAGTCGTGCCTCTTTGGACACAGAGATCGACTAGACCTCTTAACTCTTCTTGCTTGCTCGCTGGTGCCTTTGAGAGAAGCAGCTCCAGCATCTGCTTCGAGTAGCCATAGTTTTGGACTTCCATGTTTCGTTTGATTGCAGTGCGAATGCAGTTTATGCGGTGTTTTGCTAGTAGCGGCAGTGAAGCTAGATGCCTTGAAAGTCTTGCCATTTCGTCCTTTGCGCTTAATGCGCTCGCGCCTTGGACTCTTTGTAGCCGTAAGATTTCCTGCAAAAACGGGAGGGAAAAGAAATAAGCATTGATAAGATGGTTTTATCTTTGTCAGGTTTAAAAACTCAGAGAGAGGAGAGAAATATGAGAGTTAGTGTACCCGAAGGAGAGTTACGGCTATCTTGTACTGAGCACAGATCGTGGCTTGAGCTTTGATATCAGCTCCACGTGATTGATCCTTAGCCAGAGCCAAGAATGCCTCGTCGAAGCAAGAAAGTGCATCTGGAAGCTGGTTTTGTTCAAGATGGGCAAGTCCAGTCTTGAAACAAACCGGAGCTGCAGCTCCACGTGGAACCTAAGCAGAGTTATCATCACAGGGGCAGAAGAACAAAAGTGAGATTTTAAGCACATAAAGTGTTGGGTTCTTGATCTTTATATGCAATTTCAGAAAACATGATAACAAGTATGATTAACCCATAGGAAAAATCACAGGCGTATGTATAAACCTCACCTGTCCAGGACGAACCGAAGCAGGAGGCGATGTAGGCTGTCCAGGAGGCTTTCCAGAATCAGTATTTGGAACTCCAAGAACGCTAAGATCAAGAGGCTGCGTAGAAACGGGAACCTGTGGTGTCCCTTGAGTCTGACCAGGAAACTGTGGAGGAACACCTCCGTCAGGAAGTCCAACCGTCTGGTATGGAACACTAGGTTGTTGATTTGCAGGAGGAACGCCACCATCGGGAAGACCATTATCAGGCGGAGTATTATTATTAACTTGATTTGGAGCATCCTTTGCAGCTTCTGCAGCTTGAGCAATTTGATCCATTTTCGAAAGATAAGTGCCAGGAGGAAGCAATGTCTTGGCAACTTCAACAGATGGGATTGTGTTTTGGAAAAAGTCTTCGGGTATTGGTCCAGCTACAACTCCCATACCCGTACCAGATGGAGCTGGTTGGGACACTGGCTGAGGTTGCTGAGTCCATGAGCCCATCGCGAAAGGATCGACAGGAGCAGGTGCAGAAACCGGAGCAGTTGTTGAAGGCTGGCTTAACATCTCACCCAAATCCTGGGATCCAGCACTGATTGATTTTGTTCTACTCATTGGTAGGCCTAGCCCATCTCCAAGTTTAAACGTTCTAGTAGCTTCTTTCAGCTTATTGACGTCCACAGTGGTAGATGTTGGCTTTTCTCGTATTCTAATTTGCAGCTTCTTAGTTTTTGGTGCACCTTCCTCGTCACTGCTGCTGCCATCACCAGCCGCTCCGTACATTGTTTTCTTGAACTCCTCAGCAGCCTTCGCCTGTTCATCAGCCACGTTTTGCTTTCCGAGGGATTCCAGACCCATCAAGGAACTGGATTCACCAGCAGGGAGTGCCAAAGGTTTATCTGATACAGGTTTACCCAAGGAACTAAGAAGCCCTCCAGGTTTAGAAACTAAGCTATCTTCTTTAATTTCCACCACGTTAACTCTGCCTTTGACGCAACCTAAGTAAACACCAATATGATCAGCTACTATCGAGGGGATGGTTCCATCATCATTTTTCATGTATGGCATTACTTCCCCAGCTAGCTCCCATTTAGGTATGCTCTTAATGTCGGATGGAGTCTTGATTTCCCAGTTGCCACCACCCCATTCTGGTCCTTTTGGAACCATACTCTCTGCTGCAAAATTAGCAAAAATCCCCTGGGTCCATCCTGTAGACCGTACTCGTAAAATCCTTTCACAATATCGTCTCAACTCAGGGTCTCCGCTTTCTTCTTCCAATTTCTGGGCAAGACGACGCATTGCACTAGGGTTTAGGTGGCATATGAAAAGATCTAGCATGCTCTCGTAGTCGGCTATTGCTTCAAAAGTTTCCTTTGCGTTATCAAATTGACCGTATCTACAGTAACAAATGTCCGAAGTAGTTAGATGGCTGAACCTTGCAAATAACATTTCCATAAGAAGCTAGCGTAAACAAGTAATTTAGGTACAAGGATCAAAAGTTTTATAACCAAGTTCCAACTAAGTATAGATAATAGGGACGCATATAGGGTAAATATACTTAGAATCAACTTTTCAAGGTCCAAAGTTCAAGAGCACTAAAACTCCCACACGTATTAGTTCAATAGCAAATGGGGTTGAATAGGCTATCCAACAACAATTAATTATATATACTGAGATTCAGATGTTATATATGTCTTGCAAGAAAGTTTACGTACTTGATACAGGCATATCCAAGCTGCCGGAACCTCTGGAACAAAAGAGATGCCGGAGGACATTTTGGATAGTCTCTAGAACGCAAGAACTCGTCCTTTAAAACTGACAAAGCGGTAGAGAATCGAAGAGCCTTGATTGCATATGTACAACGTAATACCTAAAATTTGCGCAGAACAATTTAGTAAAAGAAGACCACTTCCAGGAGAGATTTCTGTCACAAGATTTACTAGATTCGACTCACCTGGTTGAACTGTGGGCCTGCTTGAGCTAGAGATACAGCAAGATCTCCACATACTGGAGCGCTTCTAGCAAGAATATCAAGAGATCTTGGGGTAATTCGCAAGCTATCAAACCTGCAGCCAATATATTAAACAAATTAAGGCCGGTAATATAATTAGGATGGAAATGGAGTCAATAAAGATTAGCTAGGAAAAAAACAAAACAACTCATTGATGTATCCTGCACACCTCCAAAATATTCAATGTTAAACATGCTTAACAAAATTTCGAACGTGTACGAGAAAGAAAAAAAAGGACAGGAGGAAAACCTTGTTGTTATTTGATACAATATTTCAGAAAGGTCCAGTTTCTGCTGAAATGTTTGTTGCATTGTAGAAAATCCTATTAATAGAGGTTCAAGTAGCCCAACAAGACAGCTTTTGATTTCAATTCCCTTTTTCTGCTTCGGACTTATATCAGTGGGATTAGCGAGCAATAGGCGGTCATTTAGGGCACCAACTAAGGCTGCGTTGAAGAGAATAAATTTATGAGAATGAAATACAGTAAGTTCACGTAAATATTTAGAGAACTAAGATCTGCTTACCTGCGTATGGAGTACTTATAGAAAGAATTGTTCTCACTTTCCCATCCCAGCCAAGCAAACAGATAGCAGTTGTTGTAGAAAATAGTAAGGCAGGGCCAACCCATAGAAGAGATCTAAAGTTCGCATAAGTTAAGGCTATTCTCAATTAATCAATGAGCACACATCAAAATTTAACATAGTGCACAAAATTAAAGGAAGAAAGATAAGCTAATCAGGATATTGATGGTAGTCCTCTATCATATTTTGTCGAACTGCTTGCCAATATATCGAAATCTGCAGATACCATAAGCACCCTTTGGGTTGTTAATATCCCTGCGACATATCCTCTGGGTGTTTCTTGCCATTGAACCTGTAGATTTTGAGACAACAATTAGCCCTTTATACAGTTGCGGGGAAACATACTGTATTTTTAGACGACCTGTAAATCTGAAACATATTTTATAAATCTCTACATAAGAAAAAAGTTGATTGACCATAATTTCAGGAACAAATATATCATTGACCCTTGTAGACTCATTCATTTTTTGACGGCAATAGAAACGCTAACACCAAACATCAGGAGTCATTTTCATTTTAAAACAAAACTGTCCAGATGCAAACCACAACGGGGTAAGGAGTAAAACGACTGCATGTATTGGGCTGGTCACAGAATCAGAAATTAAAGACGAACAAAAAATTTCATTGGACAATTTCCCTCCAAACTATAGGTAAAATCGATTTTACAGCAAAAAATGTACCAGATATCAGCAAGTCATTCATGTTTTGTAGGGAATTTTATACCTGAAGAGCTATTTCATGTTTCTTCAATTTGATTGACTTTCGTCCATCGCCTTGTGTTGAAATATAATGACCATCTGTGGCTGAGAGACGGTAGCCCTGAAACAACTTTGCCAGGCCAATTTGGGTTCCATTACAAGCAAACATCAGACTGGACTCTGTAATCAAAAATGGCATCAGTTTGCGCTGGCATACACCCAGTGGCAAGTAAATTTCAAGAACGAGGTTATCTGATGCATTACCTATCGGTGTGGAAAAAATACGATCAACTTCTGTCTCAAACAAAAATTGTTGTGGACCCTGAATTGCAGAAGGATTTGTCTCCTTGGTTTGGTTCTCTTCAGATAACAAATTCTTCTCATTCTCTTCCATTGTGGTAAGTTTTGGGAGGATATACATAGACAGTCCTGTCTTATCCTCGTCAAGAATTACAAATTGGTCGTCATTTGGGCCGATAAAGGCAGCATCACAACCTGCAGAGCATAAATATAGCTTTGAGATAGACATCTGATACGAGATACAGGGTTACACTCTCAACATCCCTTGCTCGTTTACGCACTAGAAAACACGTGAAAACAAAGAGGATGAATGCCTTAAATGATTCTAAACTTGCGTCTCTTTTAAGTAAACAGAGCATTTGTGGAAACCTTCGGCTTCCTTGATTGTTAGTCCCTAGGGTAAACAGGACCTACTGGTTTATGAATAATTAAATACATTGTAGAGCTGGTATATCTAATTGATCGGATGCAGTATGATACCATTTAATGTTCTCAAAAACTGAAAATTCCGAGGTGGCATAGGAAGTTCTCTAAGAGCAGCAAGGGAGCCAATAATCAGACAAACCTTTAGCAGTGCTTCCTTTGCTGTTCGGAAGCTGAGAACCTGTATTTTCCCAGTAAAGCACAACTTCATTCGTAGCACCACTGAATTCATAGACAACCAGAAAGAGGTGTCTTTTACGACTGTAAACAATGTGTTTTGAGTGATATTCCACATTTCCGGGAATCTGAAATAGAAAAGGGCTGTAAGTAAAGATAAACAATAAATAAACTGAAAATCACATGATAACAGATATTACCGATGTGTACAGCTTCTTGTAGATGTTGTCCGTTCCAGAACAGAGATTGTGTGCCATGAGGTTAAGGCCCTCAATATAAAATGCCCTCACAGGATAATGAAGAACCCTATTTGGCTTATTGAAGAAATTCAGCTCCAAGTGGAATGGCTGTAAAAATATCCGATCGGTCAGGCATAAATCAACTATTACAAAAGCAAGTTCTAAAACAGCAATTACATGCCTGGCAAACAGGAATGTCTTTAAGTTGATCCTTCGTATCCACAACGGTAATAAGGGGTAACCTTGATATTGGAGCAGTTTTGGCATGGCCCTCCATAAAATGCTGTATGGATAAAGTCACAGGCTCAGATAAAAATAGTTTCAAATAATAAACAAACATAATGTGTAAACAAATAGGTAAAGCAGTCATACACTATACAGGAATGCCTTTCGTGCAATATCTGAAATTGTTAGTTGACTCTGGCTGCAGAAAAATAATAAAATGAAAGATGAAGCAGATGAAATATGAAAAACTTGAGTCATTTGGTATGGAATTCACGGCATATTCCCAGCATATGGTCGTAAATTTTTCAGGAAAATTTCCAACACTGATTGCATGAGGTAAAATCCACCTACCCCTTGTGATGATGCTCTTGTAGCAGAGCTTGGAGTTGGTGCTCGGCTAAAATTCCAGACGAACCCATCGATGAAAGCTTTTCCTTTAGAACAGAAGCTGTTAATCACCACAAATGTTAGAAAGCCGGATATAGATCTCAAGAGACACATTCGTATAGCTTAAGAAGAGCATTGCTTGTTATGGGCAAATTAAATTAACGCTCAAGATTTACCTGAAGATCCCCTAGCACTCTGTAGAACTGCAAAGAGTTGCTTCCTTCCTTCCCTGGTCTGAGCCGCTCGATTTTGAGTATTCTCATTACCCGCCATGTTCTGTATAAAAATTTAGAAAGTGAGAGACAGAAGCCACACTTCTACCTAAGCGAGGAATGACAGTAGGAAGTAAAATGAATATTCTTAACTGCAAAAATCAAAGCTGCTAAGTTCAGCTTTGGATGAACTTCTAAAGTTTTGATTCGTGGTAAAGGGTAAACAGCTTCCCCACCCTGTTGAGAGAGAAGTCGAGGAATGTCTATAGATTCCATAGCTGCAAAAAACAAAAAAGGAAAAGGGAAGTGCTACACTGCATAATCAAAGTTTCCAAACTAATGAATTATTCCTAAATTGGGTAGGAAAAGACATTTCCTCGTCTGTGGACCCACAATAAGAGACATCAGGCTTACCGGCAGGCTCGAAAAAGTTAGTTTGTGTCGAAGGCCTGTTAGGATTTATTATAACCCGTGTCTTCCAGACTTGAAGAGATCCATCCTTGGACACAGTGACAAGTACACGTAACATAGGAAGCCAGGAAATTGAAGTGATGGGTTGCGAACCCACTTGCGTACTGCAGTTGTATCATAAGGAAACAAACAGGAATGAATTATAACGAAAAACAAGTGATCGAAATCCAATGCCAGCTGACAGAAAGCTGAAAGCATTAAATGTCACTTACATTCCAATCATATTAGGTCTTTCAGTTGAAACATCCCACGCTAAAAGTGTACCCCTCCGATCTCCAACAAAAATCCATTCTAGTGTCGGGTGAAAAGCAAAGGCACTGGCACCAATGAGTTTAATAGTTTGATCAACTGCAGGGATAACAAAGATCAGTTGTTAGAGGTAGCCAATGCTCATGATACCTCAAACGAGAAGAACGAAGATAATGAGAAACGTGAGACTCTCTTCTACTCACGCTGTAGTGTATAGTGAACAGCATAAGTGTGAATGTTATAGGCTCGTATCAACCCCTCTGCATATGCTACATACTGAAAGGCACGACAATGAACAAAGAAATTAAGCATGTGTGCAACAAAACCAAATTCCACATACTAAGTTGGAAAAATGAGGATGTAGTACAATACCAGGACAGGAAGTCGAGGATGGCAAGCAATGTTCACAATTGGTTTCTTCAGGTCTGTCTTAATTTTTGTCGGAGCTCTTCCACCTTCAACAGTTCCAACGACTACAGCAAAGAATAATAAAACCGCAATTAGAAAAAGAAACATAACTCCTACTTAGTACACCTAAATCTGCTTATATATGAGAGCTCAGGGAACTGAGAATCCAACCTGTCACACTCATTCTTTTAGGGAATCCAAAAAACACAACAGGTTGGAGTGGCGTCACTGCAAGATGAACTTCTGTATCGGAGGAAATGTGCTCACTCCTCTTCTCAGGTGAGTGTAAGACACAAGTCTGCTCCGTTTCAAAATCACAAGACCTAATAGTACAATCCTAAAAGATCCAAAAAATAAAGCAGTTACAAATCTGAACACCTAGCCTCAAAGTAGCATTCAGTATATGATCTAAGAAATTCCAAATTGAAAATAAAATTTCAAAATTAGCAAAATTCAACCTCAAGAATGGCAACCACGGCATTGCTGCTAGTAGGACTATACAACATTCTAACAGCTGGAGATCCAATGTCGATAGACGCGATTTTACATCCCGTTAATGCATCAAATTCTGCAACCAATAGGTTCGAATTCTAACATCACAACTACGAACCAAGACTCTTCAATTTCCAACAAGAGGAAAGCAAAGAGAACCAAAATCGCTAACAATTGCGGAGATTGTTTACCCATGATGTGAGAGCCGACGGCGACAGCGATTACGGCCTGCGTCGGATGAAACGCCGCCGTATGAGGTTGAAGCGGCTTGCTGACACCGCGACCAACGTGGCGCAGATCCAGATGCTGCACCGTTGCCCACTCCATAACTGCTCTATTTTCCTGAAAGACAAAAGTCCATTTTCACGTCTTGCAAACATACGAACGATTAAGATCCAGAATCCCAGATCGATCAGATAGAAAGGGAGAGAGCTGGTAGCAAGATTACTGATCTAAAATTCAAAAGGGAAAATTCGCCGGATAGCTTGTACTGTTCATTTCGCTGTACCTGCTCGTAGATCCGTGTGAGATTATGAGTTCATTAATTTGCTTCAAATCCGAAAATGCTGAACATGCGAAGGTTTTTAGGAACAGAGTGAGATCGAACGGGAAGATCAGAAAAATCAAAAGATTTAACCAGTCGGTAAAGAGTTCGACGAAGAAGAAGAACATCGAACCAAAATGTCACAAAATTTGGGTCGGGTTTTCCGGATATCTAAATCCGGGTCGGATCTTTCGAGTACCTTTATGATTCCTACTGTATAACGCATAAACTACACCGTATTATCAGTTCGGGCATTTTTATAAGCCTAACAAGTGTAATAACTGGGCTTAAATGGGCTTTATTAGAGTAACTCCATTAAAATTATTTCAAAAAAGTTGTCAATACTAAAATATTAATAAACTAAATAAAATGAAGACTCTCTATTTGAGAAACTTTAGGGGAGGGGGTGGAGTGTTATTGGGAAGAAGATTTATGTAGAGTTTGTGGATTTCAAAAGTCTGAAGATTTTAAGAATTTTTAAGATTTTTGTGGATTATAAAAAATTGTTTATAAATATTTTTAGTAATTCTTGTAATAACTTTTGTGGATTGTCGTAGATGATCAATGCAAGCAATAAAAAAATTAATTTTGAATAAAACAGAAATGTAAGTGCTACTGAATCACAACAACAAAAGAGACACAATAGCTTCTAATATGTGGCAAGATGCAGTAGCTACTGGAAGTCAACGATGATGAGATATATCAGATTCTTGATTTTCTTTGAGATACATGTGCTTGTAGCTGATAGAATTGAAATATGTGTGTTATGCAGGTCATCTGACGGATAAATTGCATGTCATCTCATAGACAAATTTTCTGGAATTTTTTATCTATATGTTGCTGAGATTTTGTTTTGTTAAACATATTGTGGTATTGTTTTATGGGTTTGTTTTTTTGGGATAATTGATGGTGATGAATCGATGATATTTGAGACAAGGGGATCCACTATCCCCTTATCTGTTCATTTTGTGCGCTGACATCCTCAGTCATTTGATTAAAAAAGGAGTTCGTCAGGGTAGTATCCGAGGAATCAAGATCGGAAATGGTGTACCACCGATCACACATCTTTTATTTGCTGATGATTCTCTTTTCTTCTGTCAGGCAAACAGCAGGAATGCACGAGCGTTAAAAGATATTTTCCAAGTATATGAGAGGAGTTCGGGTCAAATGATAAATGTTTCTAAGTCGATGATCACTTTTGGGTCTAGAGTTCCAGGGGATGTACATAATCGTTTAAAATCTATTTGGAGATCCAAAATCAGGGAGGAGGTGGTAAGTATTTGGGTCTCCCAGAGCAGTTTGGAAGAAAGAAAAATGAAATGTTTAAATACATTGTGGAGGCTGTTAACAAAAGAACTTCGACATGGAGTTCACGTCTTTTCTCTCCGGCGGGTAAAGAAGTGTTGTTGAAATCGGTAGCAGTATTGATGCCTGTCCATTCTATGTCTTGTTTCAAGATTCCAAAAGGGGTTATCCAGGAGATTACAAGTTTGTTGTCTCGCTTTTGGTGGGAGAAAGACAAGGATAAGCGAGGTATTCCGTGGGTTGCTTGGCAAAAGATGCAAAAATCTAAGCAAGAGGGAGGGTTAGGGTTTAAGGATCTAGAAAAGTTCAATGATGCTCTTCTTGCTAAACAAGCATGGAGATTACTAAAGCATCCAACCACTCTGTTTGCTAGATTGTTTAAAGTAAAATACTATAGGGAAAGCTCTGTTCTAGATGCAAAGCCCCAAAGAGGTCAATCATTTGGTTGGTCATCAATTTTAGCGGGTTTGGAACTCCTGAAGAAAGGAATTCGTCACAATGTAGGAACAGGCAACGACATAAGAGTCTTTCAGGATAACTGGATTCCCACGGATCCTCCAAGACCAGCCTTTGGAGATCGGCAAAACCCTCAACTTGTTTCTGATCTTGTTACTATCCAATTTGGGCAAAAGAAATGGAATGAGGAAGCTTTACATCAGTTGCAGTTGGAAGATAGAACACTCATCAAATCTCTTTTTTTTATCTTCCTCGTCATCAGAAGACAAGGTTATTTGGCATTACAATAAAGACGGTGAGTACTCGGTTAAGACAGGGTACTATTTGGCGAGAAAGTTAGAAGATCCTTTTAACGATCAAATCCAGCCTCCATATGGTGACTTTCAGATAAAAAGGAAAATTTGGAAGTTGCGTATTTTTTCAAAATTGAAGCATTTTTTGTGGAGAGTTCTTTCCAAGGCTTTGGGAACTTCTTCTCGGTTACGTACGCGAGGTATAAATATGGATCCTACCTGTCATCGCTGTGGTTTGGCAGAAGAATCTATCAACCATCTCCTCTTTGAATGCCCAATTTCTCATATGGCTTGGAGACTTGCTAATGTGCCTATTCCTTGCCTATCTCAACCTTACAATGAGCCAGAGGATAATATCAGGTCGATTTTAGACTATCAATCTACTCCTGGATTGTCAGAAGAACAAAGGTTGCTACCTTTTTGGCTGATGTGGCGTTTGTGGAAATCAAGAAATAACCTCATTTTTAGAAGGATCATTCCCAACCCTTCAACAGATGTTTCTAATGCGATGGCAGAACTAAGAGAATGGTTGACGTCTACTCAACCGGTTACCCAAACAGAAGTTCTTCCTCAGCAATTACATAAATCTACTACTTGGTCCTGTCGTCCTGATTCCTTCTTTAAATGCAATTTTGATGCATCATTTAATCAGGCAACAAGGTTTTCTAGAGGAGGATGGATAATAAGGGACACTTCGGGAAAACACACTTATTGGAGATCTTCTCAATTAGGAGAATCCTCTTCTCCTCTGGAGGCAGAAGGAAAGCTCTACTATCTGCAATGCAAAACACCTTACTAATGGGATATCATAAATGTATTTTTGAGGGAGATAGCCAATTGCTGATTCAGAATCTACATGGAAGGTCTTTGGACTATTCAATCCACAATCTATGTTGTGAAATTCGGAAATGGGGTGAACGTTTTGAAGAAGCACAATTTCGCTATGTATCTCGTCAATGTAATGAGCCTGCTCATCTTTTGACCACATCTCTTCCTAGTGATACTTTGTTCTATTCAAGTTGTATAAAACCACCTCTGTGGTTATCATCTTCCCTTTATAAGGACTATGTAAACTCTTCTATTTCTACTTAATATAATTTCTTGTTTCGTCGAAAAAAAAAGAATCGATGATATATAATGGGGAAAGATTTTAAGAATACACAGGATATCTATAGTATTTTGAAAGTCATTGCTAATGAATAACACTAAAGTTTAATAGAATTGAAAAATTAATAAATATTCAACTCTTTGAATAACACAATTTTTTTAAAGGAATTATAAAATCAACACAACAATGACACAAGAATTCCAAAATCATCATACCAATAACACAAGAAATAAAAATATAACAATTCACAAACCAATAACAATATAATCTTAAACTCTAAAAATCTTTAAAAATCTCTCCTAGTAACACCTCCTTTGAGATACTTATTTCACACATGTTTCTCTATATGCTTATCTATAATTAGTTTAATTTTTCTGTATAAATGAAAATTTAAATTATATAATAAATCTATATAAAAATATTCTATAATTAGTTTTAATTTTCTATATAAATAAAAATTTTATTATATAATAAATCTATATAAAAATATTCTATTATTTGTGATATTCTTTTAAGTATTTCACCAATAAAAATGTTTTTAGTTCCTTTCCCATACTCCATTCCTTGAAGTACAATCCTGGATGGTATCCAGGAGTTCCTTGGAGTGATTCGTAGTGGATCAATTGGATACAAATGTTTTGGATATGTATTTGTTAAGGTAATTTTTTCCATAGAAATTACCTTAATATTTGAGCAGATATGGCATGTTTTGTAGTTGGCACCTAAGCCTGAATTTTAATTTTATTATAGTAGTTTAAGCGATAGGAAATAAAGTGTTGAAGAGAATATAAGAAATTAGGGTTCTTTTGGATTTACCATTTGGGAAATTTTATTTGAGTAATCCTATGATAACAATAAATTTTCACAATTACCAATTAATTATGTGTTAATTAGAACTAGCAATAGGAGGACTAAAATAGATATGGTATATTAAATGGCTCTGAAATTTACATTGTGTACTTTTTGTGCAAAAACAACTCATGTAATTTTTTGGCAAAATACAAATAGTTGGCGTATTTTTTATTAAAAAAAAGAATGGTCAATAGTTCTGTTTAAGCAATTTACGACTGATAACACTGTATTTTGAACATTTTTATGGATCGTTTTGAAATACTTTTTCTATGTTTTTATTTGCTTTTAAGTACTTTTACTACGTTTTTCTAGTATTTGTAGTTCCAAGACTCTTTTCAGGTAACTTAGGGAAAAACTTAACAAAATGGATAGAAAACCAGATTTCAGCTCATAGTCAAACCGTCAGAAATTCACCCCTGATTGAAGGCCTTCTCACCGTCTGATCCAGCTCAAATTTGGAGACCTTAAAGATGGAAGTATTAGCTTTCCAGTGCACTTTACAGCTTGGCAATCCAACGGTTCAATCAAAAGATACGCGAAAAGCAAGATGTCCCGTAAACCAGCTGGCCATCACTTCCACCCGCGGCCAAGAAGCATTTTCCCGCAGTCAGGAGCATCCCGACCGCGGCAAATCACTCATCCACCGCGGTCACACTTGTCCCGACCGCGGCCAACAACCTCCAAGCCCAAAAAGCCCATTTCTGAAGCCCACATTTGGAGAAACCCTAAGTGACGTCCAGAGAGGTCTTGAGCACTATAAATACATGTCTTAGGAGCCCTAGAAATCGTGTAACCTATCACCACCGAAATATTTACTTCATATTCTTATTTTTTTTGCTTTAGCTTTTAGGGAGAGAGAGATTTGTTCTCTTGAACCCTTGTTCTTTCTTTATCAATTTCGGTTTCTATTCTACTTCTTAATATTATGTCTTTGATTTCGTTCATTATGTCTGAGTAGTTTTATTGTTGGGATTAAGGGATTTTCGATGGGGATTTATATGTTCGGTGAGGATTCCATTGGCTATTGAGCTGAATCTTAGAACTTTTTCTTCTGAATTCTTTTTTACTGCATGAGGGTAGCGTCATGAACTACAATCTGATCCAGATGCTTGGTGACGCGAAAGTGTTCATCTGGTATCAGATCTAGTTTAGGAGAGCAAAACAAACATAGGAGTGGAAACCTACCTATGGGCGATTTGTGAATTAGGACGAGTCTTAAACATAATGCATCTATTCTCTTCCAGGGCCAGAGTGGAAACCTACTGGTCAGGGTTGAGAGAGATAGTTGTCTATGATCACGACAGTGGCGTATTCATACGTCTGTGACTCCAGTTCGAAAAGTTTAAGCTAAGATCTTATCAAAATTTCCTCTCTAGCAATGTTTTGAATCGTTCGTACCCCTGAGAAAACTTCCCTGAACCCCAACGTTTTTTCTCCATTGATTTCCTGCGATTTTCTTTAAAGCTTTAGTTCAATATTGTCTTTCCTTTTTAGTTTATTTTCATTTAAACATTAGAATATCCGTTTTTATCATTTTTAGTTATTTTCGTTAAGTTTAGTTATTACACCATTAAATTTCCGCACTCTCTTTTAATATTTCGTTTTTACATTTTAAACACACCACCAAACCCCCACAAAACCGTTTTTGTTCTACACTTCCTTACTTTAACTTATTTCAAAGGCTTTTTGCAGCAAAAGATCCTCATTCCCTGTGGATTCGATCCCTAAGTACTACAATTGATCAGTTGTGCACTTGCGGCTATTGATTTCAATTAGGGTAAAACTTGACATCCTCGACACACACATCAAGACCAACATCAACGACCATTAACTCGCAAAGAAAATACTTGAACCGTTAAAAGTATAGAGTTTTTAATTGCATCAAAACAAATAGATTGGGTAATTTTCTCAAAAAAAAATGTAGATATAGTTTTCTGAAAAAAAACTCAATAAATCATGTACTTTTAAGTTTTCTCCCATATTTTGTCAACAAAAATTGTACATATTTTTGTTTTCTTGTTTGTTAGTATATATTTGATTTTTCCAGAGATTTGATATATAACTTTAAAATCTTTAGGATATAATAGTTAAAAGATACAAATTTTTTGTTCGTTATTTTTTTAAACCAGAACAAAATCAAAAATAAAAATATTTAATCATTATATATAGGCCGATATAATCGTGCATAAATTCGGTTATACAACACTTATCACAAATCTTTTTTTTCTCACATAAACTATGAAAAGCTCCATCGTTCTCGTGGCAGCAGTTTTCCTTTGCCTCGTGGCTTTTCCGACTGCAACCGTCAGCAAAAGCTTAAAAAAAAAAATCTTTAGATTAAAAGTTGTTAAAAAAATCTATTAATAAGGAACAGAAGGAGTAGTAATTATCTTCAATTTTACTAAAGGATATATTTTAGAATATACTAAAAAAATAAAACTAACGGTTTCTATTAAGTACTTTAGTTAACAAATTTAATATCTATTCTATTAATACAGAAACACTTTTAGTGCATGTTTCCAAACACACCTTAAATTTTTAAAAATATTTTATTTTATATTATATTAAATTTCGAAAATTATTCGAATTTTTTTTTAATTAATTTTAGATTAGATTTTCTTAAATATAGGTTATATTTAATTTAAATTTCAAATTATTCGAATTTTGTTTTAATTAATTTTAATTACAAAAATTTAGATTCAATTCGATTAAAATTAAAAAATATAAATAAATTTATTACAAAAATTTAGATAATAATTTTAGTTACTTGAAAATTCTTTGAATACGGGTTAGATTTAATTTAAAGTTTTTAATTTAAATTTCATAATAACACAAATGGTAAATAAATATCTTATTGTATTTTATCATAATCAATCGGTATAAAATATAAAATATTCAATATTGATAAATATTTATATTATACAATAATATGATGGAAAGAGTTATGCATTTATAATTACAGTCTTATTCGGATTAATTTGTTAAAACATGTAAAATATTAAAAAATAATTTGAGATAATTAAACGGACCGTTAGCCAATTCATAGATATGTAGATTGTTTATGTGTAAATCTAAATTTACATAATAATAATAATAAAACAATTCATATTTAACATTAGATTAATATATACTTAATTAACTCATATCTTTATATTCTACTAATATAGAAATTTATACTATTCAAAGTTAAAACATGATAATAAAATTCTTGATTCAAAAAGAAATAAATAATAAAATAAAATTCTATTAAAAAAAATTATATTAGAAATAAAAATGAAAAATTCTCGTACGGATGCACGGAATTAAAATCTAGTTTTAGCAGTTAAATTAACCAACAAGAAATAATTTTGCTCTAGATCGTTTTAGTTGTACTATATATTTTTGAAATCAATAAATTTTTTCGTCAATATATAAGTATACTTAATAAAAAATTTGGACATTAACACATTGCAAAATCTAAATAAATCAAGGACTTGGATATGAAAACTATGGAAAGAAAAATTAATATCAATTTTTATTTGGTAGATTGAAGGAGGCGTATCTTATATATAAAAGAGGACCAACTTTCTCCTGCTGAGTGACACATCAGCATTTGAGAATTAATATAGGGATGACATGTGTCACTTTTTATAATTTAAAGTTACAATTTCAAAAAAATAATAAATTATTAACTTTTAATATCAAGGTTTAAACTACTCAAAGAAAATGAACAGTTTTTTCATTAATTGATTGATATTGATTGATATTTATTTTATTTTTATATAATTATCATTTATTTAATGATATTGTATTTTAAATTGATTTCCAAAATTATTTTTTGGATAAAATTTTTAAAATTATTTATAATAACATACTAACACACATAACAAATAATAAATTTTTTATTTTTTTATTATATTGCATTTTAAATTGATTTCTAAAATTATTTTCTTTTTTGGATAAAAGTTCTAAAATTATTTATAATAACATATTAACACACATAACAAATAATAATTATATTTATTTTTATATTTATGATATTGTATTTTAAATTATTTTTTAAAATTATTTTTTTATATAAAATTTCTAAGATTTTTTATAATAACGTACCAATACACAACAACAAATAATAATTATATTTGATTTTATATAAAATTTGATTAGTTAAAAAGAAAAATCTGCACGTTATATGCGGGTATTCACCTAGTATAAATAAATCACATACTTTTAAGTTTTTCCCATAATTTGTCGACAAAAAATTGCGCATATTTTTGTTTTTTATTTGCTAATAGATATGTTATATTTGCAGAGATTTATTATAACAACTTTAAAAATTTTTAGGAGATAATACTTAAGAGATACCAATTTTGTGTTCGTTATTGTTTTTTAACCTAAACAAAAACCAAAGTATTTAATCTCTCCATATATATATAGGCCGATATACTAAGTACATGAATTCTTCTATACACTTATCAACAAATCTCTTTTTTCCTCACATAAAACATGAAAAGCTCAACCCTCCTCCTAGCAGCTTTCCTCTGCGTTGTGGCTTTTCCGACCACAACCGTGGGCAAAAACCTGAGATTCTGGCCAAAACCTGTCCAAGGATGGCCAAATCCATTGAAAATCTCCAAAAACGATTCGCCATTGAAAATCTCCAAAAACGATAGGTTTATGATGAGCACTTCCAAATTCAACTATGAAGATTCCAAAGTCTGGAGATGTACTTATAGCAACGGATCTGCTCCAGCCATTTCTATTTCTCCGTCAATCCCGTCAACTCCATCAACGCCGTCTCCTTCTCCTCCGACTCCAAAAACATCTCCGCCGCCGCCAACACCGTCTCCTCCGCCTCCAACTCCCAAAACGTCTCCGCCGCCTCCTACACCGTCTCTTCTTCCTCCTCCAACTCCTAAGAAATCTCCGTCTCCACCGCCACTAACACCGTCTCTTCCTCCTCCAACTCCCAAGAAGTCTCCATCTCCGCCTCCGCCAACTCCCAAGAAGCCTCCATCTCCGCCGCCGCCAACTCCCAAGAAGTCTCCATCTCCTCCGCCGTCAACACCGTCTCTTCCGCCTCCAACTCCCAAGAAGTCTCCATCTCATCCGCCACCAAGTGATGATGTGTCGTCACCTCCTAGTCAGCCATCAAATCCACCTCCGGAGCATCATCACGGTCATCGTCATCATCAGAATCCATGGGAACACATTGATACTTGTATGAGAAACATGGGACCTGTTACAATGTGTCGTGCGCAGATGGAGTTCAGTTTCTTCACGAGGATGTTTCAGGTCAGCGACTATTGTTGCAAACTTATCGTCAACATGAAAGATGAATGCGACGATGTTATTTGGGGATTCTTCACCGATCCTTTCTTTGTTCCTCTTGTTCGTTGCACTTGTCACGTCACCTACTAGGCTACTAGTTTTACTTTTTTTTTCTTATTTTCTTGGTTAGTTTTTTTTCTTTCTTATTTTCTTGGTTAGTTTTTTTTTTCTTATTTTCTTGGTTATGGCTTTTTCTTTAATGGTTTGTTCTTGTTTGGGTTCGTTTAGTCATGCATTCTTGTTGTCGTCTATATCTTATGGACGCTTCTTTTGTTATACGTCTTCATTAATGAATAATAAGGCTTTCGTTTCTTTGTAGCTTGATTCGTGTTCGCAAATGAGAAAGAACATTTAATTCACCAATACCTTCAATCGCATTCAATTATTTGACATCAGATAAATATTTTTTAAAAGACTTGTGAAAATCGTTAAGAAGAAACTGTTGCATCATTTCGATTCCAGTGCAATCTCTTTTTCGTTGTATCACTGTAAAATACCAAATACGATATTTCGTTGTTGGTTAAGCACTTCAAAAAAGTGCGATCTTTCTGTTTGGATTTACTCCAATATTCGGGGAAAAAAATAAAATACGGATCGTGCTAAATCTTCTTTTGTTATATATGCCTCCTTCAATCTGTCAAATAGAAATTGATATTAATTTTCTTTTCATAATTTTTCATATCCAAGTGTTTGATTTATTTAGATTTTGCATGTGCTAATATCCAATTAATTTTGTTTTTAAGTATAATTATATATTGACAAAAAAATTATTGATTTCAAAAAAATATATAGTACTTAAACGATCTAGAGCAAAATTATTACTTGTTGGTTAATTTAACTGCTAATATATCAAATTTGTTAACTAATTAGTTTATAAACTTAATCGAAACTGTTAGTTCTAAATCCTTTAGTATATTCTTGTAAAATATGTATATCCCTTAGTCAAATTGAAGATATCTACTATATTTAGTTTTTAACAACTTTTAAGTTTTAACCAGATCTTTTTTTTGTAACAAACACAGAATATTCACGTCGTTCTATTGATTATATAAAAATATGACGTTCTTATCTGTCCATACCTCTACGTATCTAACGAGAAAAGAAGTTCGATACATCTTTTAATCATTTTTATCGTTTTCTTTGTTAAAATATTTTATTGTATAACATTGTGATATTCAGACGAGATTATTTTAAAAATATATTGTATTTTCTTATTTTCACGAGATAACGGGTTGCAACAAATCAGTTTATATTAGATAATTGCTACACGATATTCGTATCGCGAATACGCAAATCCCATCATCATCTTGTTATAATATTTTTATTTTAAAATAGTTTAACGAATAAAAGTTCTATATAAGCGGATCCATTCTCACCCACTTTTATTTTATACTCTTAGAAATATTCTTTGCTCTCATCGCCTTAACCATGATGAAGAGCGTCATTGTCATCGTAGCTCTTCTATGTCTCGTCTCTCTGCCAAATCCAACCATCGGACTACAAAAGAAACCGTGGCCTAAGCCGTCCGATCTAGCCAACAACAATAACAACTTCGGTGACTCTAAGGTTGGTTGGGCTTGCTCCTCCTCTTCAGATCCCAACGCTCCTCCTTCACCCCCTGGCTCTTTCCCCAATATTCCCAACATCCCGGGAATACCAAATATTCCGGGAATTCCCGGGATACCAAACATCCCGGGAATTCCAGGAATAGGCATACCAAACATCCCTGGACTGCCCAACATCCCTGGATTTCCAGGACCACCAGCTGGTCCATTCCAGTCTGTTCTTGTGTCGCAATCCGGTGAACTAGAGAAGTGTTTGACCGGAGATAAGTCCGTGGCGGAAAAATGTTTCTCGCAGATATTTTCGAGTTGGGCAGAGAACGATTTCTCTTTGGACAAAGATTGTTGTGAGATCGTTGTGAATATGGATAAGAAGTGTAATGGCCATCTTCACATGATGTTTAAGAGCCATTTCTTTACTCCTCTTCTTCAATACTCTTGTCACATCAAGCACGCCAAGAAGAATTAAGCGTATCTTTCTCACGCATCTCCTCTGTTTGGATTTTCTTTCATTTTTTTTTTTTTTTAAAGTTTTCTGTTAGGGTTTTGTTTTGTCCATTTCTCATGGACATCTCTTGATTTGTTATTCGTTTAAATTAATAAAATACTTTTAGACTCTTAGTAAAAATTTTTTGTTAGTTTTCTCTTCACCAACAAATTTATTTCCATTGGTTAATTCTATATACGTATACGCGGTAGGTTTTACTCTATGCCCAATGTGTTCAATCCGTATAGCCCTTTGATGTTATAAATCAATTTCATGTTCCGAAAGTAAACGGTGGGCTATTATTATAAGGCTAAGAAGTTCTATAATAAGCCCTTGTGGGCTTTAACCGGGTATTATAAGGCTAAGAAGTTCTATAATAAGCCCTTGTGGGCTTTAACCGGGTCATCCGTGAGGTGCACCTTGATATAGTTTAATTTTATGGGTGTTTTTTTCATGCATTATATTTTAAGACTTGAGAGATAATACAAATGTAAATAATTTATCAGTTTTTTATATATTTTAGCTAGTTTTTGATATGTGAAATATATAAATCAAATTCTGGTAAAAACGGATGAACTTAAAAAAAATCATGATAAGTTTGATAAATATCATGACCAAAAAAGAAATATATAATCCTTCTGTTATTATTAAAATGAACCTAATTTGTTTGTACTTGAGAAAATGCAGATTGTTTGATGATTATGAGGAAAAGAATGACTGATATACTGTATCAAATCAAATTTTGTTTTTTTTTGGTTAGAAGGTATATTCTATTAAAATGCAAGGAAAGGAAATTACATGGCTTTGTGGCTAATATATATTTGAATAATATATTTTTAGAATAGTTGATATATATAGTAACGAAATCTATACAAGAATAGAAACATACTTAAATGAATCTGTTAAATTCCAACCACAGCCACTGACCAACTCCTATTGGGACCTCTTGAATTATTGCTTGTGATTATATTTGACTTCATCCCAACACCCCAAAAATCAATTTAAAAACAATTTGTTTTCTGGTGACGGTGCGGTAGAAATCAGAAGAAAAAAACATATTTCCTCTTATTTATTTTAACTAAAAATAGTCATTTTCTCACAAGAATATGATGAGACTGACCAGACATTATGTTATTTTCATAAGATTGTTCATAAGCGGCTAAATGAGGTTTTACCTTATGGTTCTTCTGGTTCTTTGGTGCACCTCCGGCCTCTTCAAGTTCTTCGGAAAGTGTCGGGAATTTTTTCCTTTCCAGTATTGCAGTTATAGTGCTTAGGAATCTTATAATTTTTAGCTTTTAATATTGTCTTCGTAGATTTTTATCGTCATGTTTAAGCGTTTGTTCTTTAACAAAAAAAAAAAATGTTTAAGCGTTTGTTTTATCTCATTATCGGGTTATTTATTTTGTCTCCGGAGGTTTAGACTGCCGTTTTATGTCTTTTACTCTCCTTTGTTTTTGGACTGTTGATTCCAGATGGATTTCTATCTTTGCAGGTTTGTACATTTTGACTTAGCTAGTAATCTAAAAAACATACACAAAGCAGATTAAATACCATTTAAACACACTTATATACTGTATTTTTTTTTACGTCTGGGCTATTCTATGCTAAGTATCATATATGCAGGCGTATTATATATATAGTCAGATATGTACTTCTTGTATACGTATCTAGTTTCAAATTAAGGTGATTGATGGATTTAAAATTCGAAAGGGGATGGAGTAAAGATTGAAAAGATTAGACCAATCATGGAGGATAAGGGATACTCACTTCTCCATTTCTGGTCCCATATGTATTTAATGACTTCATATTTGTATATTTGTTAGTTACCTATTGCCATTTTTTCACGTCTATATTTTTTTCAAGTTTTTTCTCCCCCATATCTGCAAAATCTATATCAACACAATCCTGATCTTTCACAATTCACATTCACTACCACATCCAATATACTGTATATCTAACATATATCAATCGTATCAAATTCTTGTCATCCTAAAAGAGCAATGTTAATATTATCTTTAGTTCAATAAGTCTAAAAATAAGAGTACGTAATATTATATTTTCGGCGATCCCAATCACCTCGTGTTAAGTGTCAAATACATGTACATATATGTGAATATATGTATATCTAGAAACTTCGGTACTTAAACATGAAAAGAAAAGATACATGCATATGTTATTTTTGTAAGTATATGTTTGATATGCTGATGAGCTGTAGACAGAAGAGGAAAGGGGGCAACAATATCCAACTTGCAAGACAAAAATAAAAGCCAAATCTTATATACAAAATCTAAAGGGTAGATATTATTAATATTCCCCCATAAAGGAGTACAAATGAATTCAACCTATTAAATAAATTGTTATCTTTTTTTTTTTTTGGTCAAAAATAAATTGTTATCTTCTTCATAAGTTTTCTCATAAGGAATATATTCTTTTTAAATGCATATATTTAGAAACTACAGTACTTCGTAATATTTAAAACCATTTACGACGACTATATGCAAATACTGAAATACATATTTTGAAACTCGATAAGTTTCGCACATAATCTTGACCAATAGATCGAATCCTCAATCACTTATTTATTTTTATTTTTTGACATCAATCTCATTACCTCAACCACTTAATTTCCAAAAAGCGTTAGTCTTTTCGAAAAAACAGTATTTGGAGTTTAACAAGTAAAGAACCAATTGCTACGAGTTCTTCCACATGACATGTCTCTTTGTCTAAGAATTCGACGCTGTACGATAGACACCATTTTCTATCCAAAACAATCAACACAGAGAAGAATAAAACTAAGAAAGGTAAACGTAGTATATTCATATTGTTAAAATTATGGCAAAGTGAAACTGTTTATTTGATAAAGTAGATGAATTTATTATATAAATGACAAAGAAACGTACGTGTCTACATGTGTGTGTATATAGTCCACAAGAATATTTCTCCCGCTTTCAACACAATCTTATTAATAAATAGAGAAAGAAAGAGAGCTTAGAGGTTGGCCTAGGTTAAGGGGGAAAGCTTACGTCGACAACTTTAAAAATTATTTTCTCCTTTGTTATTGTTCTTCAATCTTCATATTTTTCTATTTTTTATCCACAATTCAGAGGGAAGTTGATATAAAGAGAAGCTTGAGAATAGAAAGATCGTAAAGAATCGATGATAAGAAACGTAAGGAGTTCGAGCTCCGGCGGAAAAGGTATAGCGGCGGTGGTCGGAGTCGGGCCAAAGCTTGGCCGCTCCGTCGCTCGTAAGTTCGCACACGAAGGCTACACCGTCGCCATTCTCGCCCGCGATCTCGGTTTTTCTCTCTCTCTTTTACTCTTTTTTTTTTTTCATTTTATCCATTTCTCTCTACCTATATATATATTGTACATACATTTATACCCGCCCGAATAAACTAGCAGATTTCCATATATATGAGTAATATGTGTGCTCTTTCTTTTTATGTGCCCACGGATTTTTCCTTCTCTATTTATCCATTAAAGATAAAGAAATTGCGGCAGTTTTTCTTTTCAAGAAATTATGTACGATTTTTTCTTTTGGCTAGATTTAAAAATACAATGCACCTAGCTAACGTTTCCACACACATACAGACCCTTATCTACCTGTCCATTATTCAAATGCATTTTTAAAATTTGAGTGTAAATTTTGTTTTTCTCTTCAAAATTTTGGGTTCATGCTGATATCAGTACATCACTATGGTCTATGGCTTTGACTGGTAAAGGCATAATAGCTCAAATAGACAAAAAGTTGGCTGAATCCAGCTTTTAAGGACCAATTGAATGAAAAAAGTTTAGTTAAGCTATTAGACAAAAAAAAAATTTAGTTAAGCTATTAGACAAAAAAATTAGTTAAGCTTAAATATTTTTTCAGTTTTTTTTTTTCCTGAAAAAGTAGCAGTAACAGTTAGACTTTTATTCTATACATCCTTTTTTATGAGGAAAACATTTAAGTGGTTTCTATTAAGTTTTTTTTTCTTTTTTCATTGCTTCTAAGTATATTATATACTTTCCTATATTAACTAAATGCTTCTCTAATATCAAAAACTTATATTAATCACAGAACAAGAACTATATATGGTTGGATAAATTGTGCAGGTAGGTTATCTCGAGTGGCGGAAGAGATAGCGAGAGAAGAGAAAGCGCAAGTGTTTGCTATAAGGATTGATTGTGCTGATCAAAGAAGCGTAAGAGAAGCCTTCGAAGGAGTATTGTCGTTAGGGTTTGTGGAGGTTTTGGTGTACAATGCTTATCATTCTTCTTCCTCTTACACAAGTCACCATCCAACTTCTTTCACCCACATTCCTTTCCAATATTTCCAAACCTCGCTTGCCGTCTCTGTCTTTGCTGCATTTCTCTGCGCTCAGCAGGTATACGTATACTGACATTTTCTTTTTTAATTTTCACGCGATTCTTTTGATAATTTTCGATAGCCAACTTAAGTAGTAGTTGAAGATTCGTTCTCGTTAGATGTTAGTCATGGCCAGTGTAACCTAGAACATATGGTTTCATGGTAGTATGTGTTTCGTTTATCCAGTTAATTATGAAAGAAACAATATCATATATATATATATATTACATTAGGTTCATATAATCAATTTCTGTTCGAATATTAATAATTTGTTAAAGATCACCATTTCGATCGTAATTAAAAATGAAGTATTTGATAGATTTAATCCTTTTTGATGTCTACTACCTAGTCATACTGTTTTAATTTATTTATTTGTGAGTCAGTGTAAGGTACATGTAATATTGACTGATTTAGACATTTTGAAAATTTTGATAGATCTAAACATTTGTTGATGTACTAGTAGTTGTGTATAATCAATATCAAAAATACTGTTTATTTTTTATTTTATTTTGTGAATACGCATGTAGGGTATATGTAAGATCGAGTGATTTCGACATTTTGATTTTTTTTTTATAACTAATAATATTTGTCTGTTTTCGTAAGGTTTTTCAATTGGTTTTGTTTGTATAAATTTGTTACCAAAAGGTTATTCCCGGGATGATGGAGAAAGGGAAAGGAACTATGCTCTTCACCGGTTGCTCGGCGTCATTGAATGGCGTTGCTGGTTTCTCCGAACTTTGTAAATTTCTCAAAGTTTTAAATATTTATTATTGTTGTCCATTTAAAAAATTTGGGTTAGTTATCACTAAAGTATTTTTGAAATTGGAAAATTAAGGCTGTGGAAAATTTGCGTTGAGAGCACTCTCTCAATGCTTAGCAAGAGAATATCAAGCTTTTGGAATTCATGTGGCTCATGTTATCATAGACGGTGTGGTTGGACCTCCAAGGTACGTAACTACATGATTGATTTCCTCCAATTGAATATATAGCTTTTAAATAATCTATATAAAGAGAAGAAGATGAAATTAGAACCACAATATCCAAAAAGGTGTTTTTAACTTTTTATACCTTCCACAAACGGCAACATTATTCCGATCCAAACCGACAAGATTCTACCTCAATAAGAATGAATTTATTTACAATCGCAAATAAAGAAGCACATTTTTTTCGGACTTTATCACAAAAAGTTTTAAATGATTCGAGATTCACAGTACACATATCACATATGTGGCTCCATTTCCTATTAATTTATTGCAAATGGAAACCATTCTTTGAATCCTTAGTCTGTATCTATTCATTGTTATATTTTTCGAAATTAACGGTCAAAGATGAAAAAGTGAAGAATTTTTATTAGAGTCCCCACACCTCAACGGTCCACACTGTAAACACATTAAACATTTTGAGTATCTAAAGAAAAGAAATAGTATTGGATATAGATAAATCATTTTTTTACCGATATATATATATATATATATATCTAATCTCTGGAAAAATATATATTCAGAGAAATAAACATTCCACCTAGAGGAATGGTCGCAGAGCAATCATTCAACGTTGGAGGCGAAGATGGAGAAGGAGAAGGTGAAAGCTCAGGAGTGATAGGAATGGATCCTGATGTATTGGCTCAAACATATTGGAGTCTTCATGTTCAAGACCGAAGAGCTTGGACTCAGGAACTCGATATCCGACCATCAAACACAAGATTCTAGTAATTAAAAATATGATTTGATTCTTCGGGTTTTTATTCAATGTTCTTTTAGTCGTATGGTACGTGCGTGTGTGTGTGGTGCGGATCATTTGAAATGTACGTAAATTCTTGCATTTGGAATGTAATTAAGTATTTTAAAACATTAAAAGGTTGGTTAATTAATGATTGATGTGAATGATCTATCAATCTCATATCATAACTTTTGGCTTTTAGTTTTGCGTGACTTTTGGGATGATGGTTGGTCTTGTCGGGTAAGGTTTGAACTTTCTAGTGGCTTCTAAGTCTAAAAGCGGTACAAATGGCTTCGTGTTCAAATTCAGGACACAAGAGAGGATCCGAAGACATGTGAATGGACATAATTAAGATCCGATCACACACAAAAAAAGGGACCCCCCTTAAAGCTTAAATAGAGGCAACTGTCTTTGAAGTGTTGTCACGTCTAGGAACTTCTCCGAATTCAATTTGTTTTTACAGAAGAGAGTGAAACTTTGATGATAATCAGTAATCATCAAGGAGGAAAAAAAAAATCAGTAATCATCAAGAGAGTATCAATAAGGAGTGTTGAAACTTTTTTACCTTTCTTGAATAAAAAAGGGTAATGATAAGTGAGAGTTCTTTTATTACACATTAATTAAGCTAGGGATTGTTCTTGTATTGCATGAAGGAATGAAACTAGGCCACAAATGGTACATTAAAGAAGTTAAACAACTCTCTTATATTATATATGAAGCTTATATATAAGTGTGAAGAGAACAAATTTCTCCTTTCGAAACAAATTATAGGCATCTCTGGCATTAAGCTAACAGTATCGATCATTACCTTAACAAGAGATTATCTTAGATAAACTGCTTCTCTGCTCTTATCTTTTATCCTGAGAATTAGCCGCTAAGATCACAAGGAGGAGATTATATAACTGCGGAAATTCCACCAATAGACAGAGAGATAGACGCAAACATAAAATGCTGGCCAAAGATGAGCTAGCTGATTTCCTTAGGACATTGCAACAACAACAGTGAAAAAAAAAAAAAAAAAAAAAAGAAGATAGAACAAAACAAAAATGGTTGCAAATTGCAATGCTCAGAAAATCAATACAAACTGCTTTTGTTCGGCTAATCTAATCGTAGGCTACAAACATGGGAGTTACGATAAGAGATGTTCATGATCAGTCATCCTTCTTGTTCCCCTAAAACTATTAGAGTGATGAGAGTTTAGGATTGGAAGAATTGTATATTGACTCTCATCACTCTAATATGGTATCAGAGCAGGTTATAGATCTAACGATCAAACTCATTTTTCTCTCTCCACTTCTTCTTTTTCACCGTCATTTGCTTCTTCTTACACAAATAGCCAGTCTACCTCCTCTCTGTTTCCCTTCTCAATCTCTATCTGTCTTCTTTTTCTTATTCACAAAAAAAAAAAATTGTTTGATACTTTCAAAAGGAAAAAAATTAAGTATATGTTATAAACAAATGGACTTCTAGTAACCGGCCTATTAACCATCAGGTTAATGTCTCATGGCCCATTAGGGTTTCTGATACATTAGTTATGTAATATATATATACACTGCTTATGGAAATAATAAGAAGAGAGTTTTTCCCTTAATACGTTATCAGCACGAAGCTCAACTTCAAACGATCATATCTCTCAAAATACAAGCAGTTAGAAGGCGATCTACATATCATTTTGAAGCCCTGGAAGAGAAGAATCTAGTGGTGAAAACCGCTTCTCATACCGACACCAGACGCGCCCTCAAGACTCAAAACAATCGGCGCTGTCCCACCTTAGCGGGTGATTCTTTCCAAGCGGTGGTTCCTCCATTGTAGCAGCTGTTCGTCCTCCCTTATGGCCATCATTCTCAGGAGTTTCCAGTAGATATCTGTGGTCTTTAGCTCCCAGATCATAAACCGGTCAGAAATCCATTTTGCGAAAAGGTATTATCTAAAACTATAGATCCTAATCAAAGTTTTGGTTTTTTTTTTTTAAAATCCTAATATGGATCGATTCTGTTCATGATTCTTCATCGTCTTTTTCGTTTTTAAAACCATAATCAAACCGATCCTCTTTCTTCTTGTCAAAACCCTAATTGGTTTTATTTTCCTAATCGGCTTTATTATATAAAACCTAAACCCTAATGCTTTGTTCAAACCCTATACCGATCGGTCCTAGCATCATCTAAACCAAACACTAAAATTCCTTGCAAACCGAAACCTAAATCTTTGCAAAACCCTAGATCTAAAATCGTTTTGGTTTGTCTATCGTTAAACCGAGATCGATCGGTTTAAATCCTAAACCGATTAAACCGATCGGTTATTTATCTTAGATCCGATCCTTGAAAACCCTAAAACCGGTCCATGCAAGCTCCTAAATCCTAAACCAATCGACCCCTTAAACTCTAAACCAATCGATCCACCTAAACCGTTTATAAACCAATAAATTCTAATCCTAAATCGATAGGGTTTAAGTTTAAACCGATCGGTTTTTCCTAATAAAAATTAAACCCTAGCAATTCCGTTTAGTTTAATCCCTTAACCGATTAATAACCCTAATAACCGGTTTCCAAAATTAAATCTAATTTAACCGGTTTTGTTGTTTAATCGATCAATCCGATCGGTTTAAGCTTAATCGGTTAATTTCAAATTAGTTTCCAAAATCAATCTAAAAAAATAAAATAAAATAATAATTTCAAATTAGTTTATCTATTAGAGCTAAATTTGGAAACCCTAGTAAACCGGCTAGGTTATAAACCCTAAGGTTCGATTTTAGAGTTCCCTTATATAGCAAGTTTCCTAAAATAGCAAGTTTCCTGAAATGGAAAGTTTTCCCAAGAATACCTTAAATCCCTTATTTCAATGACCATAGTCTCATACTATTGATTATTTAACATAAATTATTATATGTTTCAGATGTCAAACATTCAGAAGGTCGAATATGAGGCACTCACTGTCTCCGGAGATAACTACCTCAAATGGGCCCTTGACACCAAGATCTACCTCAACTCAAAAAGTCTGGGTGAATGCATCAAAGATCCCAACACCGCGACTCAAACAGAATGGTACTCGGCGATATTTATTATCCGCCATCACCTCGCTGAGTCTCTCAAGCAACAATACCTCACTCTTGAGGATCCACTCGAACTTTGGGTGGCACTGAAAAAGCGATATGACCATCAGAAAACGGTCATACTGCCCCAAGCCAAGTTCGACTGGAAGAACCTACGGTTCGAAGATTTCAAATCCGTCGAAGAATTCAATTCCGAACTCTTTCGGATAGTTGCACTCATAAAACTATGTGGCGAGGAGGTCACTGATAAGGATATGCTAGAGAAAACATTCTCTACTTTTGGCACTCCCAATGTTGTTCTCCAACAACAATACCGTGCCATGAATCATAGCACCTATGAGGATTTGATATCTTGCTTACTGCTTGCTGAGAAGAACAATCAGCTTCTGTTGAGGAACAGTGCCATGCGGCCTCCAGGATCAGCCCCATTGCCAGAAGGAACCAGAAAAGAGTCCAACTTCGTCCAACGTAACAGATCCTCAGATCGTGGACGTGGACGTGGAAATGGACATGGACTGCGCGGCAGAGGACGCGGTAGACCGAACCAAGAAAACCGACCTAACCTCAGTTTTGGTCGGGGTAAGGGTCGTGGTATCAACAAACCGACCCAAAGAGGCAGTTCATCTAGACCAACTCCTTGCTCAAGATGCGGAATGACTAATCATTGGGTCAAGATCTACCGTACTCCCAAATATCTTGCTGAGCTCTACCAGAAGTATGGGAAAGATAATCATGAGGCTAACCTGGTTCATCAAGTCAATGAAGATGACTCAAAGGATGATAAGATTGATGGCATGGATTATGAGCTCTCCGACCTCCTTGATTGATCTCAAAAATCTGAATTTGTTTTTCATTACTCCTTAAACTTTTATCTTTTGTTTTTGGGATTTATTGTCTTTACTTTGGATTTTTAAGACCTTTTGCTTTTACATTTTAATTTATGGAGTAATGTTTTATTTACATCTCATTTTTGCATGTTATTGAATTATAATTCTTGTTTAATGAAGATATGCAAGACAATATGGATATCATTGTGGATAGTGGATCGAGCCACACCATTCTAAAAGAAAAGAATTACTTCATAAATTTAGTAATCAAAACCGCAAACATTAGCACTATAGCGGGTAGTTCGAGCCTAATAGAGGGCCATGGCCAAGCTAATGTGTTGTTATCAAATGGCACATATCTAGACATCTCTGATGCCTTATACTCACCCAGTTCTAAGAGAAACCTATTGAGTTTCAAAGACATAAGATTGAATGGTTTCCATATCGAAACTCAGGATGAAGGGAACAAAGAGTTTTTAATTATCACTAAAATGATAAATGGCCATAAACAAGTTTTTGAAACTATACCCGCCGTATCTACTGGTATTTACCATGCTAAAGTCAGTATGATTGAGGCTAATGCTGCTATCAAAGCACGGTTTTTAGATTACACTATTTGGCATGATCCTGGGTCTTCCCGGTGCGAACATGATGCGTAAATTAGTCCAGAATTCTAAAGGGCACAGCCTTAAACCAAATGGTATTTTCCCTCAGCACCTCAAGTGCACAGCTTGCTCACAAGGGAAACTGATTACCCGACCTTCACCAGTCAAAGTGTCTGAAGAGACCTTGAACTTTCTGGAAAGAATCCAAGGAGACATATGTGGACCAATTCACCCACCTTGTGGGACATTCAGATATTTCATGGTCCTCATTGACGCATCGACCCGCTGGTCGCATGTCTGTCTGCTCTCTTCTAGGAACCAGGCTTTTGCTAGGTTATTGGCCCAAATCATCAGATTACGAGCCCATTTTCCAGACTTCCCATTAAAGACTTTACGTCTTGATAATGCTGGTGAATTCACTTCCCAGGCGTTTAATGAATATTGTATGTCCATAGGGGTAAGTGTTGAACATCCCGTTCCACATGTCCATACACAAAATGGATTAGCTGAATCCTTCATTAAACAAATTCAATGGGTTGCTAGACCATTACTCATGAGGTCACAACTCCCGGTCTCAGCTTGGGGACACGCAGTCTTACATGCCGCTGAACTAATACGCATACGACCATCTAGTGAGCACAAATATTCACCATCCCAATTGCTAACGGGTCATGAGCCAGACGTCTCCCATATTAAAACATTTGGGTGTTCAGTCTATGTACCCATTGCACCACCACAGAGGACTAAAATGGGACCTCAAAGGAGGATGAGAATATATGTTGGTTTTGATTCTCCCACCATCATAAAATATCTCGAGCCAACTACAGGAGATCTGTTTAAAGCCAGATATGCAGATTGCCGATTTGATGAATCGGTATATCCTAGATTAGGTGGTGAGACAGACAAGCTGGTAAAAGAACTTTCATGGAATCAAACATCCACACAATGGCAAGATCCTCGGACTCTAGAATGTGATTCAGAGGTCCAAAGAATTATACATTTACAAAAGCTAGCTAATCAATTGCCAGATTCCTTTGCTGACCCGAACAAAGTTACCAAATCGTACATACCAGCTTGTAATGCACCAGTACGAATATATGTTCCCTCAGGGAAAAGTCAAGTTGCTACAGAGTCTGACTCACGTAAGAAACGTGGCAGACCACCAGGTTCCAAAGATAAGAAACCAGGATTCAAGAGAACACGGATACAGCCTTAGCTGATACTTACCCTATCGAACCATCTCAAGATGTTTGGGACACCAAAACTCAAGGTTCTGAAGGGATTGATAATAATGAGATCTCAATCAATTATATCATATTCGGTTCTCTATGGAACAGAAAAGATGTCGACATCAATGAAACTTTTGCATACAAGGTAGCACTTGAGATTGCGCACACGCAAGAAGATCTAGAACCCACGTCTATAATTGAGTGCACTCGTAGATCAGATTGGCTGAAATGGAAAGAAGCCATAAACGTGGAGTTGAATAGTTTAAAGAAACGAAATGTGTTTGGTCCGATCTTAAGGACACCATTCGATGTTAAACCAGTGGGAAACAAATGGGTTTTTGTGCGTAAAAGAAACGAACTCGGCGAAGTCGTTAGATACAAGGCACGCCTTGTAGCACAAGGATTCTCACAGAGACCCGGAATCGATTATGAGGAGACTTATTCTCCAGTGGTGGATGCAACTACATTTCGATTCCTCATAAGTCTGGCCATAAGAGAAAACTTAGATTTGCGGTTAATGGATGTTGTAACCGCATATCTTTATGGACCACTGGACAGTGAAATCTATATAAGATTACCAGATGGTATTGAGCTCAAAGATAAGCATGCATCTCGTGATAAACACTGCATTAGGCTGAACAAATCCTTATATGGACTGAAACAAAGCGGACGTATGTGGTATAACCGGTTAAGAGAATATCTCATCAGAGAAGGCTACGAAAACGATCCGATCAGTCCACGCATCTTCATCAGAAAATATCAAAACAAAGGATTTGTAATCATAGCAGTATACGTGGATGACTTGAACATCCTCGGAACATCTGGTGAAATCGCCCAAACAGTTGAATGCTTAAAAGGAGAGTTTGAAATGAAAGACCTAGGCAAAACTAAATTCTGTTTGGGATTACAACTTGAGTACGTCAATGACGGAATCCTTGTGCATCAATTGGCATACACTGAAAAGATACTCAAGAGATTCAATATGGACCAGGCCCACCCATTGACTAGCCCAATGGTTGTGAGGAGCCTTGGATTGGATAGTGATCCATTCGGTCCAAAGAAGGACGATGAAGAAATCCTCGGTCCTGAAATGCCATACCTCAGTGTCATAGGAGCATTAATGTACTTGGCTAGTCACACTAGACCAGACATCTGCTTTGCCGTGAGCCTCTTAGCTCGCTTTAGTTCGTGTCCAACTCAAAGGCACTGGAACGGTATTAAGCACATCCTTAGATACCTTCAAGGTACTAAGGACTTGGGATTATTTTATTCTAACCATAACAAGGATGGTCTAGTTGGTTTTGCTGATGCAGGATATTTGTCAGATCCGCACTGTGCCCGGTCTCAAACCGGTTATGTTTTCACGCATGGAGGAACAGCCATATCTTGGAGATCCATGAAGCAGACTATTGCCGCTACCTCATCCAACCATGCGGAAATCTTGGCCATTCACGAGAGTGTGTTTGGTTGCGGTCCATGACTCAGCATATCCGATCAGATTGTGGTATGGACGAAGATAAGGAGCCTACGGTGATGTATGAAGACAATGCAGCTTGTATCGCTCAACTCAAGGACGGCTACATCAAAGGTGACCGGACGAAGCATATTCTGCCCAAATTCTTCTTCACTCATGAGCTACAGAAGGATGGTCAGGTCAAGGTTCAGCAAGTCCGATCAAGCGAAAATTCAGCCGATCTATTCACTAAATCATTACCGACTTCTACACTCTGGAAGCTCATTCATCAGATAGGAATGCGTAGACTTAGAGATCTACAGTGATGCCTAAACCAGAGGGAGTAATGCGTGTTGTACTCTTTTTCCTTCACCATGGTTTTTCCCACTGGATTTTCCTGGTAAGATTTTAATGAGGCAACGTTCCCCAGCGCATTATAGAGATCCCGGTTTTGTGACAGGCACGGTTACCTTGTCCAAGGGGGAGTGTTATAAACGAATGGACTTCTAGTAACCGGCTCATTAACCATCAGGTTAATGTCTCATGGCCCATTAGGGTTTCTGATACATTAGTTATGTAATGTATATATACACTGCTTATGGAAATAATAAGAAAAGAGTTTTTCCCTTAATATTATATATATATTTGGTTTCTCGCTGTATTTTTTATTCTATTAAAAAAAAACATGTTTTACAAGTTTTCGTTCCAATCTTTGATTTTTTTATTTCAGTCATTAAAAACAAAAGTTTTCATTGTTTTCTTTCAATAAAAAAATAAATAAAAAAGCGAAAAAAAGGAAGAAAATAAACTTTATTTCTTCTTCCTCAAGAAACTAGGTCACGAGCCTCTCTCCACTCCCAAGCACAGTTTCCGCTGCCACATCCCACTGGCTCAAAACCGCCATGGTCAACACCGTTCTTCATGCTATTGAGGCTTTCACCGCAATCATATCGCATCTTTGTCGCCTCGTTGTCATGGTTTGTTGTCGTCCCATCCGTTTGTTCAGCACGTGCATTCAAGGTCTTCCACAAAGTCCAAAGAATACACCAGCTCTTACTTGATCAATCTGAAGTCAATCTTAAACCATTGATTCCGCTTTGCTCCATCACGCCTTGAGCTTGAGGGGGCGTATAGAAGGATCTAGAAGATCCATATGATCAAAGAAGATATTGTGAATATATTCTAGAGATTTGTAAATATCTTTATATGATTCTATTAGTTAGATTATTAGTTTAATTCATTCTCTATATAAATGTATCTATTCAATCCATGAGAGTCAATATACAATTCTTCCAATCCTAAATTCTCATCACTCTAATAAAAACAAATCCCAAAAGAGATTTTAGCAACATCTCCAAAATTCAGACACTTAGGAAGATCTTATCCCAAAAGAATTGCCTATGACTATTTTCACATTCCAAATACCATTGAGCAAAATATTCCTACAAAATGATTGTCGTTATATACAGAAACGAACTTATTAATCAAACGTTACATTTCATAAATCAGTAGAAGCTCAACAAGATATTAATGCCAAAAAAAAAAAAAACAAGTGTGATCAGATTAAGATTCATAAACCCTAAAGTGATAAACCTTTGAGCAGGCGAGTAACTTTATCTACAAGAAAGTGATCTTCCTCATTCTCGTCATCTTCTTCATCTTCGTCATCAAAATCTGAATCTGAATTCGAATCCGTAGAATCATCTTCGCTCCATTCGCTATCATCCCCACTGTTCAAAAAAAATTCAGAATCGATCAAAAACTACAATATAATTAATCAGAAAGATATATCATCGCAAAATACGTGTAAATACCTCAAACTCCGATCTAGCTCTTCTTCTTCTTCCTCATCTTCACTACTCTCTTCATCGATATCATCTTCCTCTTCTTCTTCTTCTTCTTCTTCTTCGTCTTTCTCATCTAAGCTACAGATATCAATGCTCTCCTTCTCGTACGCCATGTGAATTTCAAAAAGTAGTTTGTTTTTGACTATCTTTTTTACGTAAACTTTAAAGATTTGTCGGAGCCCCGAAACTTTCCAAACTGGATCCGCTTGTTTGTAGTAATTACAGTTCGATCCTTCCTTAAATGGATTCTGCTGCTGGAACAGATAAATGGATAAATTTAACCCAAAAAAAAAAGATAAAATGAATAAATTAGGTCAATAAGACTAACAACAATGTAGATGTGTTTGTTAGACCATCTTTATCGCACGTTTCTTAGAGGTTTTTTAGGCTTTTTTGCATTAAATTTAAATCATAAAAGCCCAAAAGAGATAGGATCGCTCCTTATTTGGGAACCAGAAGAAACGATCCTTTTATGCAGGTGGCAGCTTCTCATTGGACAAAAAATGTTTCAGCGATAATTCTTTTAGGGTCACAGAATCGTCGACTATTTCTCTCATCCTCGACCAATTTTTTCAGCGAAGCACAAGCACCTTTCTCGTTTCATCTGCCATCATGTCCGGCGTCATCTCCGGCGATGGTTGTCTTCTCCGGCGCCGATTTGCAGATGCCTCCTCGTGTTCTCCATGGAGTTAACAGATAAGTGATTCTCTCATTAATCCTCTTCATCTTCTTTGTTGATTTTTATTCTGGATTTCTTAGTCGGAATTGCTGAATTAGTTTGGGATTGAGGATTTCGTTTGTAAATCATGGAAAGAGTTTAATGATCTCTCCATTTTGCATGTAGTTTCTATATTTTTCCTGAATTAGTTTAGACATTGATGAGTTGATGATGTTTTCTGATCTGTAACTGTAAATGGTTCATGATCTGTAAAGTTCTTGATCTGTAAATGGTATATGGGTTATGATCTGTAAATCGTTTTTGATGATATGCTCTATCTATTTCTATCTCTTTTAGCTTAAGTTAATGGTTGATGATCTACACTGGATGCTAAATTCAATGATCGTTTGATGTTATACTACAGGCTAGCTTCCCCAAATCCTAGAACATACATTGGCTCGGGAAAGGTCTTGGAGATTAAAAGCACAATACACGCATTGGACGTTGATTGCAAGCTACTCTGTTTCTTCTTTCACAAAGCTGTAGCTTCTCTTGGTCGTTTAGCTGATTAATATTTACTAAAGTGGTCATTGGATTGTGTAGTATGTAGGAGTTTCATACTCTTGTTTGTTTCCACGCTAGTTTGTCAACATAAATGTGAACTGAGCATGTGTTTCATTTTCTTATTACTTCATATTTTAAATTTCAGGCAATTGCGTAACCTGGAAAAGGTCTTTGGTGGGGATGTACGAGTTTGTGACCGCACCGCCGATTCTTGGACATTTTCAACCAAAGGGCCGCAACTCATGAAGCAGCCTTGCAGGCAAGATAAAGCTTCCGTATATAGATGACCATTTGTGAAAACTTTTAGTTATGCTCTTTCTGGAACCATGAACAACATTAGTTCAATCTGGAATTGGAATATCAATTACCACAATTAACTAGAATGTGGACTCACCTTGAACTTTCTATTGTAAAATTTAAGTTTATATTTCAAGTATGTGTTTGTGTTGTTTTTGGTTTATAAATGTAATAATCTAAGTAATTATCTTTATTTCCATTAAAAAAACTTTATTTATTTTGTTGCTACAAGAAACTCAAGTAAGTTTCTCCTAATGGACCATTAAAAAAATATGATTCTTTTAATGGTTTCTTGCTCCAAATCAATTTATTAAATAATAATAAGAAACTCATTAGAGGTAATAGCAATAATCATGCTTTTAGGTGACAGCTGCAAAAGTTTCTACTAAATATAGTAAAAATTTACAGGTTGGAAGAAGTTTAAAACGTATATAAGTATATAACCATATTTACTGAAGGATTATCAGATTATGTATAAACTTTAGTGAAGGATCATCACCAACTCAAATAGTAGAATGATTTTGTCAAACCTGGAAACCATATCAGTTCTCTATTACCATGCATTTTTCTCACTATAAAAATTTGGAGTCTACACACTTCGTTTTTCTGATTTATAAATTATAATTGGAAAAATTAGGTATATTCTGAAGCACCATCCTTGGGTCAAAGCCCAGAAAGCATCTAGTTTATGGTCCATTAGATAGAACCTTCTTCTTTGTTGTGTTATTAACAATACATGTTTAATCCCCACAAATTTTTTTCTTCAATACTTTCTTCTGTAAATCTATTTTAGACAACAAATATACTAGGACCGGCTTTATGTTAGCTTTCTTAATTTGCAACTAGATTTTACCCCGTGCATTCGCACGGGAATTTATTTTAGTCAAATTAGTTATATTTTCTTTAGATAAATTATTTTTTTTAATAAGTGAAAATTTTATTTTTGTATTTAGATATAATTTACTTTTTTAACTTTTTTCTAATATTATTATGACTACGATCACAAAAACGTAATTCTAATCCGGTCATTTTAGTAATTAAAAAATAATTGTTATTACAAAAACATATTTCTAATTCACTCATTCTATTAATCCTAAAATGACTGTGGTTATAAAACCATAATTCTAACCCGTCCGTTCATATTACTATATTATATAAATATTTATTAATTTTAAAATAATTTTTATTTTGATATCTTGCATATTTTAATAATCCAACCCGCGTAAAACCAAAATTATTAAAAAAAGCTTATCTGTTCCATCAAATTACCAAATAATTTTAATATTTATTAGTTTTAATATGCGTAATTTTAGATTGATTAAATATGATTAAAAATAAATATAATAACATATTCATTAATCATATTATTAATATGTGTATTTTAAAAATATTATTTAAAATTCAAATGTCAAATTAAATCTAACATATATTTAAAGAAGTCTAAAATAATTTAAATCAAAATCTATTTTTCAGAATTAAAATTATTGATAGAAAAAATTAAATAGTTTGAATTTTAAATTAAATACAACCTATATTTAAGAAAATTGTTAGTTATCTAAATAAAAATTTTAATTTTCGGAATTAAATGTATATATAAAAGAAATTATATTTTAAAATAATACTGGAAAAAATTGGAATACTTTTAAAATTATTTCTAATATAATCTTTTTTTCAAATTTTGAGAGTGTTTGGAAGCAAGTCCTAAAAGTGTTTCTGTTTTAATATAATAGATATCTTGTGTGGATTGAATCCAAATCCATCTTAGAATAAATGAATAACACATTAATACTCATAGAAGTTTAAGAATTTATGTATTGAA